AACCCCGTCTCTACTAAAAATACAAAAAACTAGCCGGGCGTGGTGGCGGGCGCCTGTAGTCCCAGCTACTCCGAGGCTGAGGCGGGAGAATGGTGTGAACCCGGGAGGCGGAGCTTGCAGTGAGCCGAGATCGCGCCACTGCACTCCAGCCGGGGCGACACAGCGAGACTCCGTCTCAAAAAAAAAAAAAAAAAAAACAGGTAAAAAGAGCACACACACACTTCTGCAGTTGACACCAAACCAAAATCAAAACCAAAATCAGAGTATCCAGAAATCCAAGCCAGGTCAACACCAAAACCAAAGTATCAAGCAATCTAAGTCAAGTCAAAAACAAAAACCAAAGTGCCGGTACAGGCATACCATGGGCGATCAGGCCACGCTTCTACTCAAATGTAGGAGGCAAGTTTCCAAGACCAGTCCTGTCAAGCAATTCAAACCAAGTCAAAACCAAAACCAACACCAAAGTGCCAATAAAGGCACGCCATGGGTGATCAGGCCACGCTCCCACTCAAATGGAGTGGGCAAGTTCCAAAGACTAGTCTTACCAAGTTTCAGATCTCCAGACTCCAAATGCCAGTTCCTTCCCGGTGTTCAGCCACTGTGTTAATCCTCCGTGGTGGCCTGCTATGCACTGCTCTGGCAAGGCGTTCCACCTGGGGAATTGCCTACCCTGGAGCGCGCTTTGGATCACGTCACTCGGGCTGACCAGAGTCCCCCACAGAGATGCTCCACAGGGCAGGCCTAAGCCGCCTAAGGGGCTGCCTCAGCCGTCTGTCAGTTACCTGGCTTCCCGGTCAGGGAACCAAGAAATGTAGCAGGACAAGCCGCAGACAAAACCTCTCAGACACTGAGTTGTAGAAGGAAACACTTTATTCAGCTGGGAGTATCGGCAAGCTACTGCCTTAAAATCCAAGCTCCCCGAGTGCACAACTTCTGTCCCTTTTAAGGGCTCACAACACTAAAGATTTCACATGAAAGGGTCGTGATTGATTTGAGCAAGCAGGGGGTACGTGACAGGGGCTGCATGCACTGGTGGTCAGAGTGAAACTGAACAGGACAGGGAGTTTCACGATGTTCTTCTATACAATGTCTGGAATCTATGAGTAACATTGGTTTCTAAGTTATGAGTTGATTTTTAACTACTGGGTTTAGGCCAGGCAGGCCCAGGCCTGGTTTTGGGTCTGGCGCCAGGCTGCCTGTCTTTGGTTTTGCTTCCTTGTTTTTTCTTAAAACAGGTACTGAGTATAAAACAATATGAGAGGGTCTCTTTCTTTCCTCAGTATCAAAGGAAATCAAGTTCATAATGACAGAAAGTAGAATGGGGGCTATCAGGGCCTGGGAGGAGGGAGAATGGGTTTTAATGAGGACAGAGTTTCAGTTTTGCAAGATGAAGAGTTCTGGAGATGGATGATGGTGATGGTTGCACCACATGTGAATATAATTAACAATACAGAAATGTACACTTGGCTGGGCACGGTGGCTTATGCCTGTAATCCCAGCATTTTGGAAGGCTGAGGGGGATCACCTGAGGTCAGGAGTTTGAGAACAACCTGGCCAACATGATGAAACCCCATCTCTACTAAAAATACAAAAAATTAGCCGGGTTTGATGGCACATGCCTGTAGTCCCAGCTACTTGGGAGGCTGAGGCAGGAGAATTGCTTGAACCCAGGAGGCGGAGGTTGCAGTGAGCTGAGATTGTGCCACTGCACTCCAGCCTGGACAACAGAGCAAGACTCTGTCTAAAAAACAACAACAACAACAAAAAACTGTACACTTGAAAATGGTTGAGTGATAAACGTTATGTGTATTTTATCACAGCTTAAAACTTTTTTAATTTAACAACTTTTGCTCTGTGAAAGACCCTGTTAAGGTGAAGTAGCTCACGCCTGTAATCCCAGCACTTTGGGAGGCTGAGGCGAGAAAATCTCTTGAGCCCAGGAGTTTGAGACCAGCCTGGGCAACAGACAGTGAGACCCCATCTCTAAAAAAAAGATAAATAAAGTAAATTAGCCAGGTGTGATGGCATACACCTTTAGTTCCAGCTACTCAGGAGGCTGAGGTGGGAGGATTTCTTGAGCCCAGGAATTCAAGACTGCAATGAGCCATGGTTGTGCCACTGCACTCCAGCCTGGGCAACAGACTGAGATGCTGCCTCAAAAAAGAAAAGTCTCTGTTAGGAGGAAGAAAAGACAAGCCCAAAAGTGGGAGAACATATTTGAAAACCACATATATGGCAAATGGCTGGTCTCCAGAATATATGCGGAACTCTTCATCCTCAACATTAAGTAAACAAACCATCCAGTTAGAAAATGGGCAAAAGACATGAATGGATATTTCACCCACAAGGGGATACAAAACTGTCCAATGAAATGACAACACAACACAGCCGTTGCATTCTTGGGCATTTATCCCAGAATAATGAAGACTTACAGTCACACAGCAACCTGTACATGAATGATTATAGCAGCTTTATTTGTAATCTCCCAACACTGGGAATGACCCAAATGTCCTTCAATGGATAAGTGGTTAAAGAAAGAGTGGTGTATCCATAATATGGAATATTCTGCAGCAATAAAAAGGAATGAACTATTGACACATGCAGCAGCCTTCATGAATTTCCAGAGATGCCAGGCAAAAGATACCACATATAGGATTATTCCATTTATAGAATGTTCCTAAAATGACAAAGTTATATTAGTGCAGAACAAATTGTTGAGTGCCAGGGTTAAGGAGTGTTGCCGTGGGAGGAAAGTGGGTGTGGTTATTTTTATGCCTTTTTGGGCAGCATAAGGGATTTCTCGAGATGGAAATGTTCTCTGTCCTGACTGTACCAGTCTTAATGGTCATCATATTGTACTACAGTTTTGTGAGATGTCAGTGATGGGGCTTAGAATGTAATACCCCAAATTATGGCACCTTGACATGCTGAGTATCTCATGCTGAAGGAAATTGTCTCTCTCTGACCTTCTCCTGCCTTTCTTCCTTGAAGGAAGCCATAAGAGAATTATCTGACCTACCTCCCCCAAAAGCAGGTCATAGGATCCTCATTCCAGAGGCCAAGAAGAATCTGAATAAACAGGCCTTGGCCAGTTGCCCCCAGTTTATTACCATTAAGTTACACCTGCTTTTTTTCTAAGCGTATTTTTACATGACTGTTCATTCTTCATCAAACCCAAGCATAAAAAATAGACAGATTTGCCTGTTTTTTTGGGTTTTTGTTTCTGAAGGCTCACTTGTCACATAAAACTTTTTGTTAAATAGATGTGTGTCATGCTTTATCTTGTTAACCTGTCTTTGTGACTGGGGCCATACATGCAAGGTTCATCCATATGCCTTGCAATGGGTGAGGAAAAGATACTACCTCCCCCCCCACCCCACCCTGACATCAGCATCATGGGAAAGTGAGTGCACAGTGCCTGTGCCCTTTGTGATGCATTGAGTGGTGACACGCTGACTCTCAGGAGGTCGTAAAGGAGGAGGAAGGTAAAGTCAGAGGCAGTGTGGGGGCAGAGGGAGTGAGGGCAGTCAGTTCAAGTTAGAAGATGTTTGGATTTGTTTTCTTTTTAGAGACAGGGTCTTGCTCTGTGGTCCAGGCTGGAGTGCAGTGGCACAATCACAGCTCACTGCAGCCTTGACCTCTGGGCTCACCTCCCGAGTAGCTGGTACCACAGGCATGCACCACCACGCCAAGCTAATTTTTTATTTTTTGTAGAGACAAGGGTTGTTGCCCAGGTTGGTCTTGAACTCCTGGGCTCAAGTGATCCTCCTACCTCAGCCTCCCAAAGTGCTGGGATTATAGGTGTAAGCCTGTAATCCCAGGCTTGCCTGGCTGATGCTTGGATTTTAATTCAAAGTGTCCTGGGCTTAGTAAGATTTCAGGGGAGGTGTTCAGCATTTGGACACTGCAGAATGAACCCATCAGCATTAGGCCCCTGAGATGAGCTAAGAATCAGGAGGGCAGAGACTGCGGTCTACACCCTGCAGCCCCAGCCCCCCAGAAACGAAGCTGTTGTCCAACAAGTTGGCCTTATTGCTGGGGACAGTGGAGAACATATCCCCACCCTGGGAACCCTGGGGCTGCTCGAGAAGAGGATGCAATGAAGAGCTGAATGTTTTGGTGATTAAAAGGAGTGTTTAAAACAACGGGGCCTCACTCTGGGTTGCATGCTGTCAGAGAGAGCCAGGACAACTCCATCACTGGATGTCTCCATAAATCTAAGCTGGCCAGGAATCACTATGACTCATTTTAGCCAAGAGTGGTCGGTTAGCCTTCTCTCCACCTGTGCTCAGACATAGGTATAAGTGGCCTGGTCTTGTGTCTGAGGGACCTCTGCAAAAGGTTTTATCTGCAAGAGGAGAAGGCCCTCCCTGCCAGCTCCCAGGTCTCCTGGGCTGCTCCTATCTCAAGTTCCCTTTCCCACGTCAAAGAAGAGTAGGAGAAAGGGCGTTCAGGAGCGTTTGAGCGACAATGCGCACACCCCACGGCCCTGGCTTCCCCTACTCCTGGCAAGGGGCAGGGCGGGGCTCGGCCAGCGCAGTCATTGCCCCTGGAATCTCAAATACTGGGTTGCTTTTCACCGAGGCCACGCCCAGCGACTCTGAAGCCTTCTCTCCGCCAGCGGATCGTGGCCCGCGGCTCCCCGCCCTCGCTTGCACACTTTGCCCAAGAACTCTTCCTGGGGCAGAGAAGTTCTGGAAAGAAGCCGCTGGCCCGACGGCGGAGAAAGCGGGCTGCGGGGCTGGAGGTCAGCGTGATGGAAGAGAGGAAGGCGCACGGCGGGTGGAATAAACGCGCACGGGTGTGAGGATGGAGACGCCCCGCGGGGCTGAACGCGCGGAGCATGCGAGTGAGGGAGCGACCCCTAAGGACGCCTTCTAAGGGCCTCGCAGGCCCAGACACAGCTGGGCAGCCTGATCGGCGTCCCAGCCAGAAAGGCGGGGACAGAGCCCTCACTCCCTCCCCTTCCCAAAAGAAAATAATGCAAAGAGACGGAAGACTTCTCGCCCGGCTGTGCGTTTTTATTGGCGCGTCTGCAGCGAGCCCCAGCGGGGAGACCGAGAGGTGCGGCTCCGAGCGACCCTCAGCGCACCTGGGCCAGGTTGTGCCTCTTGTACAGCAGCGCGCGTCTCTTCTCGCGATCGCGCACGAAGACGCGCAGTCGCGCGGTAGGGAAGGTCACGGGCGCGGGCCGCGAACACGCCGGGCCCTCCTCTGTCAGCCACGGGCACTGCAGGCAGCTGGACGCGCAGGGCCGGCCCCTGGAACCGACAAACGCTCAGCTCGTGGCCCAGCGGCTGGAGGGGTGTGGGGATGGGGAGTGGAAAAAGGGAGAGGGACGGGGAGGGGAGAGGGCGGAGGGGAAAGGGAGTAGCGGGGCGGGGCGGGACGGAAGGAGGAGGGGGCGGGGAGAAGGAGGAGAGGGGCGCGCCTTACCAGGGCTGGGCGCACAGAGTGCTGCGCAGGAAGGCCACGGCGCCCCCGGACAGCCCCGAGTAGCAGCGGCTCAGCCGGATCAGCCCCTTGCGCAGTCCTCTCTGCAGGTCGCGTGCACCCTCGCTGCTCACCGGGTACTCGGCGCTCAGCCTGCACAGGTGGCAGGTGCACGGGCCCTGAGGTCACCCTCCTCGGGTAGACCAGGGCGGAGGTGGAGGGGATGCAGAAGCACGGAGGTCACCCACGGGTGGCCGGTGCAGGGGCCGTGAGGTCACCCTCGGGTGGCCGGGGATGCAGGGGCCGTGAGGGCACCCTCGGGTATTGGGGTGCAGGGGCCGTGAGGTCACCCTCGGGTGGAGGGAGGAGACTACCCAGCCCACCTAGTAACCCCCAGACAGGCTGGAGGACTCACATGATGAAGGCTGTCACACCGATGGCCCAGATGTCTGTCTGCGGAAGAGCCCCCTGGCCCTCCAGGAGCTCTGGAGCTGGGAGGGGCACATGTGGTTGGGCTCAGGTGGAGGGGCACAGGTGGGACAGGTGGAGGCACAGGTGTGTGGGCCAGGTGTGCGGCTGAGTGGGTGGCAGTGGAGCTGGGAGAGGGGACAGCACTGGAGGAGAGGGGGCTTCTTCCTGCCCCCCGCCCCAGGTGAGTTCCCCCCAACTGTCCACACACGTACCCATAGTCTCTAGGTAGTCCTTGAACTTCTCTGAGGGCAGCACCTTCTCCTGGCTGAGGCTCTGTGCATTGCCCAGGTCCACGACCTTGAGCAGGTTGTATTCGGTGATAATCATGTTCTCAGACCTCAGGTCCAGGTGCAGGATGTGCTGGGCGTGCAGGTATTGGGTGGCGCTCAGCATCTGCCACAGGTAGTCCTTCACCTCCGATTCTGAGTAGGAGGCCCTGGGGGGCAGAAGCTGCTCAGCCCAGGCTCCAGGGTGGGGGCCACCGGGCTGTGCAGAGGGGCCTGGTCCTCCGGCCCCACCCCAGAGGCCTGCGTCCATCAGTCCATCAGCTCAACCATGCCACCCCAGGCCACCCTCACCTCTCAGCCAGGCAGGGGAGCAGCTCGGGCCCAGAGCACAGCTCCAAGATGAGCACCAGGTGCCGGGGGCTGAGGTAGGCTGCATGCAACTGGGCCAGGTGCGGGTGGCGCAGGCCCTTGAGGGCCTCGTATTCACGCAGCACTGCCGTCTTGTCCTTGGGGCGGTAGGGGATGATCTTGGCCGCCAGCGCCCGCCTGCTGGCCTTCTCCCAGCACTGCCGCACCACACTGAAGCGACCCCTGCTCAAGGAGACAGCGGTCAGGCTGGTGGGTGATCCCCTCCCATTCCCCGATTCCCAACACTCAGAACAGCAGGAGCCCAGCTTAGCGAGAAGGTGGGTGTGGGGCCATGGGTGGCCAGCAAGGGGGGGGTCCAGGCCCTGGCCCCACCCGCCTGCAGCCCCCGAGGCCCCTGCACCTCCGGATCTGTGTCTGGAATGCGAAGGTCTTTGTGCTGGGCAGGGGTTGGGCTGGCCGCCCCTGGCTCTCCTCCTCAGAGGCTGTGGGAGGAGGGGCAGGCCATAAGAGGGGGTGAAGAGGGCATCCCCACAGCCCCAGCTCTCCCCACCTCTCCCATCACCCTTTCCCAGGTACCCTGACAACTGGGGCTTTGAGCTCCTACACACTCCCACCTTTTGTTCCTCAGGTTCTGGGGGTACGGGGACAGGGAGGGGGTACAGCAAACAGTGAGAGCCAACCTGAGTGAGGGTGTGTATGAGGACTGCAGGGGCATTTGAGAATGGACCACCCATAGCAATCATGCCCTCTCTGTCTGTCTTGAGCCCAGGACAGACATTACTAATCAACCCCAGCATTCCTCCACCAAAGCTAGAGGCAGCAAGGGGCAGTCACTATCAACACTCACTACCAACATTCAGCATGAAGCAGAATGGACTTGTGGGCTCGCCAACAAGTGTATGGAAGTGTAGGTGAGTGAAGGGGGGGCCTTGGGGGTGAGGTAGCCCCTAAAGTGTGTAGGCCTTGAATGCCAAGCCCAGGAGCAGGTCTCTCCCCAGAAGGAAGTGGACAGCTATGGAGACCCTGCACAGGAGGGAGCATAATCTGGGTCTTCCAGCTGCTGTTCCCACCCTCCAAGCCCTGAGTGTGGTGTGGCTCACCCAGGTGGCTGGGCCCTCCCAGGAGGACTTGCTCCGAGGGGCTGCTGTAGGGGCCCATTCCTGCCTTGCTGACACATGCTGTGCGGAAGGTGTAGGTGCCGCCCCGGGAGAGCTTGCTGGTCAGGTAGCAGCAGTCAAAGATGTCGGAGGCCAGTGTGGTCCAACTGCCACCTGGCCACACAGGAGCACGTGAGGGGCTACTGAGGCCTCTGCACACCACATCAGTGGGGGTGGAGAAACCCTTCCCTGAGGCCAACCATGGGCACAGAGCAGGCCAGGCACCTCCCCAAGGGCCCCTCGACATGGCCCCCATGAGGGGTGGCCGGAGCCTTGGGCGCAGGGGCCACCTCATACCTTCTAGGCTGCACTGCACAATGTAGGTCACAGGGCCATAGGATTCCACGGGCTTCCAGACCAGCAGCACCCCATCCGCGTACACCTCCCCAATATCCGGGCATGGCGAGGATGAGGGGCGCTCTGCAAGGCACTGCCCAATGGTCAGTGACTCCAGGGTGGGCACCCAGCCTCCAGGGGGCAATATCTGGCTGGCCCCTGCCTCACCCTGGCAGCTACCAGGGCTCTGGAGCCCACCCTCCCTGGTCCTATTCATTCAGGGTCCAATCACAGTGAGGAATGGTAGGAGGGGCCTCTCCTGGCGACGGGCTGGGGAGGTGTCTGCCCTGCCAGAACCCGCTCCTGGGCTGGCCCATTCACCGCGGTGTGACCAGAACCCTGTGCAGGGGCCCAAGCTCTGGTCAGAGGGGCCCTGGTGGGGCTGCTGGGCTTCACTGGGTTGCCCTACACAGGTTCAGGCAGGCTGGCCCACTCTGGTCATTGGGCCAGGGGTCCCAGAGCTAGGCCTGTAGCCCCCATCCTGACTACCTCAGAAACATGCCCAGGGAACTGTGTTGTGCTTGGAACTCAACTTTGATTGAGATATGGAACCGGAAGCAGCCCACTCCTGCATGGGCTGGAGGGATGGGCGTGGAAGGAACATGGGAAGATGATGCGATGGGTCATGTGCCCAAGAAACTCAGTTCTCCTGGCAAGTGGCCAATGGGATGGGCTTTCTCCCTGGCAGGGAGTGTGGATGAACAGGCTTCCTTCCGAGCCCTGTAACGTCAGCAACTGCATCCGGCCGTCCTTCCCAAGGCTGGTTCCTTCTGCTGGAACCAGCTCAGGACCTCCCGCCAGCCCAGGGCAGCCCGTGTGGTCAGAACTCTGTTGACCTTCTCGGGCCTCCTGCAGCCCTGGCCGTGTGCGGTGCCTGGCCCCATAGGGATGTGGGCTGCTCAGGGTCGGGGAGCGGCCGCCTCAGCGGCCAATGCACGGGCCCGGAAGCATTCCACGGAGGATGAGGCTTCCCAGCAGCCCTGGCCCAGCCTCCGTGGCCCACCCCCAGTGTGGCCCACGCACCTGCCTTCCGGAGGACGCCCGTGGTGGTCACTGTCCCCAGCGCATTGCTCGCGCTGCAGGTGTACACACCCAGGTCCTCAGCTGCCACCACCAGGATGGTCAGAAGCTGGAAGTTCTTGAGGGTGGTGGAGATGAGGACACGGCTGCTGCTCTCCAGGGGGACTCCATCTGCAAAAGTACAGAGCAAGCCTCATGCCACAGCCAGGCCTCACACCTCTCCCTGGGCCTCAGTTTCCCTCTGGACAGCGAGGCATCCTATGGGGCTGGCGATGGCCACTCACCCGATTTCACCAGCCCCCAGCCCCTGGAATAGCTTCTTACCTTTGCTCCAGGTGGCCTGGGCAGCTGGCTGGGCCGACACCTGGCAGGCCAGTGTCACTGACTGGCCCAGGACCACAGTCTCATCTGAGAGCTCCCTTAGGAACGTCGGCGCTGAGGAGGGAGGATGAGATCAGCCTTCAGGGGTGACCTCCAGGCCCCAGAGCATGGCCTGGACCCCGCAGTGGGGACACCAGGAGGAGCCCTGCCCTACCACCCACGACTCCCCACTCCCCAGACTGGCCCATCTGCACCACCACCTCCTCCTCCAGGAAGTCCTCCAAGACTGCTCAGCTCACCACACCCACCAGGACCCCTCATCGGTTCCCGCACCCCTGTGCGTGCAAGCCTGCTCCCCACCTGTCTGGCCATGCTGGTGGGACCCTGAGAGGCAATGGGGCCCAGTCTCTGTGTTGGGCCTGCTCACCTCGGTCCCAGCTCTTCAGACCTGACGGCCGGAAGGAAGCAAGGCCTGGCTTCTTCCTGGAGGGTCCCTCCTTCTCCAGACCTGCAGGAGGAAGGGGGCCGATGAAGATCATGGTCAGGAGGCCTGGCCCCTCTGGGTAGCACCAGCCGCCTCTGGCTGCAAGGACCCAGAGCAGCTGGGACAGGAAGCAACTGTGGTCGGCTGGCCCACTGCCCACTCCTCAGACTTCCAGGCCACAGAGGAAACACGAATATCAGGCACCCTCCCCACCTCCAGGCACGGGGTCAGGAGGGTCCACGACCAGGGAGGATTATGTGGTCGGGGAGAACTATGGGGCTGTGAAGGGTTTTGGGGTCAGGGAAGGCCTGAGGTCAGGAGAGTCTGGGATCAGGTAGGGCATGGAGTTGGGGAGGGTCTGGGGTAAGGTAGGGTCTGGGGTCAGAGAGGACTATGGGGTCAAGGAGGACTCAGGAGGATCTGGGGTTAGGAGGGTCTGCAGTCAGGCAGGATCTGGGGTTGGGAGAGTACAGCGTTGGGGTGTCTGGGGTCAGGGAGGGTCTGGGGCTGGTCGAGAGGACTCTGGGGTCAGGAAGGATTCTGGTTCAGGAAGACTCTGGCCCCTTCAAATGCTTTCCCCAGGGGCATACCACCTACAGCCTCCCCAGGCCTCCTCAGCTATGTTAGGTCCCAGGGCTGGGTCTCAGTTGCCCCGTGGGGAGGGTTGTCAGGGCTGGAGAGTGACCCCAAGATTCAGAGACCTGAGGCAGGGACAGGAGGTGTGGGCAGCACCTGGACACCGGCGGGGGTGCCCCGGGGGCCTCCTGCCGTCACCTGGAGTGCAGTAGCCCCAGTTACAGAATGGGGGCCCCTGGACGTGAAGGATGCCTGGGGTGGGGTGGGGGTTCACCTTCCGGCCTGCCCTTCAGGATCCGGGAGATGTGCTCCACGGAGGCCTTCACTCTCTCACGCAGCCCCAGCTCCGCGGGCTCATCCAGTGGCAGGTGCCTCCCAGGGAAGTGGAAGAGGCTGCGTGACGGTGAGGACCACTTGCACTTCCTGCCCACGGCAGCCTCCGCCAACAGCGCATCCACGTCTTCTGGCTCCTCTGTGATCTCCAGGCCTGCGTGGGGGCCCATTTCACCTTGCCAGGGCCACATGGGCTCCGAGAACTCGGCCAGCTCCTCCTCAGCCATGGGGGAGGGTGGCTCTGGCTGAGCGGGCTTGGGGACTTTCCTGAAGATCATAAACTCGAATGGGAGGTACTTGATGTCGTACAGGTCCGAGAGGTTGAGGTAGGCGGGGTCCACCTCGGAAATGTCCAGGGATATTGTGTCAGCCGCCTCTGCATCACCTGACAGGTCCTGGATCTGCACCAGGGAGACCTGCCCGACGTCCTCCCATGGGGTGGGCTCTGGAGAGCTCCTAGAGGGAGCCCTGCTGACCTCAGGCACAGGCCTTGCACTGATCTGGGGCAGTGGGCTCTCAGCCCTGGCCTCCTCCTGCTCCTCTGAGGACTGGGACACAGCCCAGGCTATCTTGGCCCACATGGGTCCCTGCCCCAGCATGCCCCCCGCATCTCCACCAAAGGCAAAGGCGCCATAGCCAGCCACACCTGCGTAGCCCCCGCGACACCCCAGGGAGAACTTCCGCGTGGTCACCTGTTCCTGAGGCCGCTGCAGGGTGGGTGTGGAGTTGGACAGATCCTCAGCCTCCTGGGACCAGCCCTCAGCATCGAGGGAGGGGCCAGGCTCTGTGCCCACCCGGGAGGAGCCCACCCTGAGGGAGCTCACTTGGGAAGAGCTCGCCTGGGAGGCTGACCCTGGGGAACTGCAGGGGCCAGGTTTTGGCCTCCCAGGAAGAGAGATGTCTCCAGGCCCCATCTTAGAGTCTAGCGGGGGGCTTGCTTTGGCAGGGGCAGGGGGTACCTGGGGCTGTCCCAAGAAGGGGCTTGAGGGTACTAAGGGGGCCTCTTTGCAAGATCCTAGAGGGAAGGAGCCAGGAGGGCATGGGGCAACTGCTGAGTGGGGGCTGCAGCCCTCCTGGGGGGCAGAACCCTGCTTGGCATGACAGAAAGGGGCTGGCTGCCCCCAAGCGTGGTCCAGGGATGGACTCTCTGGCTGAGCAGTGCCTGGGTGGCCACCAGTGGATGGAAGCTGCTTGTAGCCCTGAGGGTGCCCCATGTCCCTCATAGGAGCTCCCCCGGAGGGGGCTGAAGGCAGTCGCTGTGCCTCACAGCAGGCCTCTGGGGAGCAGCGTGGGGTGCTCGGAGGGTCATGTTCCGTGTCCAGGGAGCGGCTGCGGCCAGGGGCCAAGTGGGTGCCAGAAGCAGGCAGCCGGAGGGCGGTCTCGAAGGAGGGGGCTTTGGTCAGGAGGGTGGCCTGCTCCTCCCTGGCAGCCTCCTCCTCCAGCATGCAGTGCTCCATCAGTGGCTCACGCAGGCCAGGTAGCGCCCCCGCAATGTACCCGCCCTTCAGCAGGTGCCGCCGCCGGGCTGGGTGCCGCCTGCTCCCCGGGGCCAGGGCCCCATGCTCAGGGCTCTCACCCGCCTGCTGGTAGAACAGGCTGCGGATGACGCTGTGCCGGGGCACACAGCCCTGGGCGGCCGGTGGCCCAGCACCCTCAGGAGATGCAGGCAGAGCTGAGGCCTCGGCAGAGGGCACAGTGGCCTCGGCCTCCTCAGGCAGGCTGGCCGAGGGCCGCAGGAAGCCCCGGGGGTGCAGCAGTGGCGAGTGTGTAACCGGGGAGGGTGGCAGTGACTTAGCCCGGGCGAATGGGGCAAGCTCATTGTCAGAGGAGGAGGAGGAACTGGAGGAGCCACCAGTGTCCCTGCAGAGGTGCCGGGCCACACCGAGGGAGGGGCTGTCAGGAGGGCCCCGCAGCAGCTCAGGGATGGAGCGCATCACCAGGATGGACTTGTAGCTCATCAGGGAACGCTGGAACCGCATGGGGGCAGCAGGCATCAGGTGGGGAGACCCAGGAGCTCTGGGGTCCTCTGCCCCCAGGGCACAGTCATTCCACCCTCCTGCACCATGGGACTCTGTGCACTCATCCCCACTGTGCCCAGCAGATGACTCCCATCTCCTTTCAGCATGCTCAAAGGAGCCCAGCCCCACTTCCCTGCACTCCTAGGTGCGCAGCTGACCCTGTGGGGCCTCAGTTTCCCCTTCACTGGTCCCTACTCAGATGGTCATGGCTCACCTGCCAGCGACTTCGGGCCAGGAGGAACTTGAGCTGCTTGGTGTTGATGAAGTGGGCCTCCTCCGCAGGCATGGATTTCTGGGAGACCGAGGTGGACAGCCACATAGCAGGGAGACCATGGTGCCCTGATAGGGGCCCCTCCCATGATGGAAGCCCTGCTGGGCAGCCCCAGTCCTGGGATCCCCTGGATCCAGGACACCACAGCCCTCACCCAAGATGTCCAGGTGGGGCAGATGGCAAAGGCCAGAGGTCAGAGGTGACAGCGACCCCCTGTCCCTGAGCCCCTCGCAGTTCTCCCTGCCTCCTGCTGGGCGTTGGGGGCTGGGGCACTGAAACGTGGTTCCAGCTTGAGGTTCCCACAGCCCTCTCACTCAAGTACAGGGACAAACGTCCTCTGGGCTGGGCAGAGTCCAGGCCACAGCCACAGTTCTGTGCTCACACACCCTGTTGCCCAGAGGCCCTGCCCCTGTTGGCCTCAGGCTCTGCCTGCATAGTGTGGGGCTGACCCTGATACTCACCAGGAACCAGGGGTGGGAGAGGCACTGGGCTGCACTAGGCCGGGCCCTGCAGGGAGAGGAAGGCTCAGGGGGGGTCAGGTGGTCAGTTGCCCCCTGGGGCAGGGCTGACTGGCCCCCGGCAGGAGAAGCCTGGGTGCGCACTCACTGAGAGGCTCTCTGCAGCGTAGCCTTGATGAAGTCTTTGGCGTCTTCACTGAGGTGGGCAGCCATGGGGCTGCTCCATGACACGCGACCCTCCAGGATGTTCAGGAGGGTGGCACGGTCACTCTCGCCAGCAAATGGGGATGAGCAGGTCAGGCTGAAGGCAGAGGGAGGGTCTAGCCCTCAGATGAGGCTCTGACTGCGGATGGGCTCTTAGTCCCACTCCCATCTAGCTCTGAGAATCCCAGCAAGTTTCTCTGATTTGCCCAGAGAGATCCAGGCTCAGCTTGGAACAGGGACCCAGACCAAGCCTGGGGTATCTGGGCTCAAGTAGCAGAAGGGATATAGGGTCAGCTTGGGTGTGCACCAGCCTTAGTCTGAGATAGGGATCCAGGCTCAGGCTGGGGCAGGGATGTAGGGTCAGCCTGGGTGGGCACCAGCCTTAGTCTGAAATAGGGATCCAGTCTGGGGCAGGCATCAAGATCAGCCTGAATTAGGAATTAAGGATCAACTTGCTGAGGAGGTCCAGGCTGTCTATACCACTGTCATCCTCAGGGCAGCAGTGGCTGTTATGAGTGACTGCTGGACAACCCCCAGTCCTGCAGGGCAGTGGCTTGGCTGCCTCGTGACCCGGCACAGCCTTCTGATGACAGGGTGTTTGTGAGACCCTCTGGGCAGGAACCTCTTATCAGGGTTGGCTGACCGCCTGTTCCCAAGATAGTTGCCCCTTGGGTCTCAGGTCTCTGATCTGGGGAGCAGCCAGTGGTGCACATGCCCTCAGTGGGCCTACAAGGGAGGGGTCTTAGGTCGGCTGATGGAGCAGGGCTCTGCTCACCTGAGGTAGGAGATGACACCCATGGCCCTGCAAGACAAAACCACACGTTGTGCGTCGCCCCAGGCCTGGCCCTTAGGTAAGAGGCACACACACAGGGAAGCGGGGAGCCCAGGTCTGTAGGAGGAGACAGGTTCAGGGAGGACCCCTTGGCTGACCAGTAGGCTGCCTGCTGCCTCCCTGGGGCAGAGGAGAGGGCCCAGCCATCTGTGGGGACCGGCTTCCCAGAGAAGCTGCAGACCCAGACCCGTTGGCCCAGCCACCCACTCACCAGATGTCGGAGGCCTCGCTCACAGGGTTCTGCTGGATGATTTCGGGGGAGACGAACTCAGGGGAGCCGTACTGGCTGAACTGCAGCTCTGCTGGGGTGATGTTCTGGGCAAAGCCGAAGTCGCAGATTTTAATGTCTTCCCGGGCAGGATGCACCATCAGGATGTTAGAGGGCTGTCGGGGAGAGTTGGGAGTGGGTGAGAGCCATGCCCTAAAGGGGTGACCCCTGGGGCTGGTGGGCCTGGTGGGGACACCCAGAGGCCCGGGGACAGGGTAAGGCAGTGGGGAGCACCTGGTGCAGCCATTTGGGGACAGCCTCTGCTCCACCAGAGCCACACCCCACTCGAAAGGGCTGCCTGGAGGTGGTGAGCTCCCTGTCCCTGGAGGCAAGCAAGCCCTCTCAGTGAAGCTGGGAGTGGTGAGCCTGCCCCACTGGCCTGCAGGTCCCAGGCTTTGGGGTGCAGCGATGAGGACATACTAACCTTTATGTCCAGGTGGAGAATGCCGTGGCTGTGCAGGTAGTGCAGCCCCTCCACCAGCTGCTGGATGTAGACCTTGACCTGTAGCAAGGGCTGCTGTTCAGGTGGGAGTCCAGCCCCAGCCTCCCTCTCCACTTCAAGTCCGGCCTCCTCCTGGCTTCGGCAGCTGATATGCAAAGCCGTCCTGGGTCCTGTGTGCCCCTAAGCCAGGAGATCCCTCAAAGGTGGGGAGGATACGATGGACTTGTGAACCTCAGTGGGGGAGGGGTGCGCAGGGCTGGTCAGCTGGCCAAGTGAGGCGGGGTGGCAGGCCGTGTAGAGCCTGACTGAGGGGTCAACACGCCCTGGAGGCCATGGGGAGCCCCAGAGGCCCCTGAGCTAGAGAGGGCTGTGGCTGGGACTGTATCTGCAGGGACCTGGTGTCTGAGAGGGGTCTGGGGTAGGGTGCGTGGCTGGGGCAGTGGCAGGCGGCGGCCCAGTCACCTCGGCCTCTGTCACCACACCCTTCCTGAACAGGCGGTCCAGCAGCTCCTCGGATGAGCACCTGGGATCCCATCAAGGAAAAACAGGCTTGGGAGGCTGAAACCTGCCTGCCCCCAGAAACCCACACTCACAATGAGGTGGCCAGGACTACGGGCACATCTGATCTCTGGGGGCAGCAGGGGGTGATGCTCAGGGTTGAGGAGAGTGGAGTGGGGACCCCTCTGAACCCCAGATGGCATGCAGCCCTGAAAAGGGAGGGGCTGCAGGCTGACGCTGGGGACTGAGGCCAGTCACTGCACTGGCACAGTGGGAGGGGGCATCCTGTCCCCTCTGTACAGAGCCCATCCAGCACCCTCTCCCTGCAAAGAGGACACCGACTTGGGGCAGTGGGGCATGTGTCCGGCTGACACCGTCAAGAGCACCAGAGGACAGAGGAGACCTCCAAGACAAGGCCACGTGGGTGGCAGGGTGTGCCCCAGAGTAGCCAGGCCAAACAGCTCCTTCCTCTCTAAGAGGCCATCTACAGAGTGGGAGCGGACCCCCACCATCCTTGCTGAGGGCATCAGGTCATCAGGGCCAGCTAGCCACCAGTACCCCCTGGGGACTCCAGTCACTGCCCCGTGGAACAGAAGACTCCCCACCCAAATCCCCGGCTGGGTGGCTGTCGCCACCACCCAGCCAGGCAGGGGACACCAAGCACATGGCTCCTCTGAGCCCTGGACTGGCCCTGCATGCCCCTCCTCAAGCCCTCTCAGGGGCTGAGGGCAGGATACAGCTCCAGGATGAGGATGAGGGTCTTGCGGGTCTCAAACTGGTCCAGCAGCCCCGTGACCAGCGGGTGGCTCAGCGTGGCCAGGATGTCTCGCTCCCTGTATGCCTGGGCCCGAGTTCTGCTCCGTAGGGGGATGAACTTGGCAGCGCACAAGATCTTGTTTCCTTTGTGCTGCACTCTTTTCACGAAGCCAAACACACCCCTAGGAAAGACGGAGTGAGGAGAGCCCAGGTGGCCTGAGGAAAGGAGCCATCTGGCTGTCCAGGGGAAAGGGGGCTAGGTGCTACCTTCCAATCTCCTCCTTGACCTCATAGAAGGAGTGCAGCTTTCTCCGGTGGCTTTGCTTCTCTGAGTCCGGCTCATTGTCCCCTAAGGAATGGGAAGCAGCTGGTATGGGCAAAGGTGACCACCCTGATCCCCACGGAACCCAGTGCTGTGGTGTTAATGGGAGCTGCTTCCTGGACCCAAGACTATGGGACCACACCCACCCAGGTACCACCCATGGGAAGAGAAGTTGCCCCATGGAGACAAGACCTGTACCTGGCCAGCCCAGCTGCAGAGCCTGGGCCCAGGAGGGGTCGACCAACTCACCGCCAAGCACCAACAGCTCTGCCTTGCAGAGCACCTGGCCACCAGCGTTTTGGGCCAGGCAGGTGTAAACACCGGCATCCTTCGAGGCCACATGCCTCAGCACCAGGGAGTATGTGGTGCCTTCTTGCTGCTGGCTAAGCCGGGTGCTGTCCACCAGCTGGACGCTGTCCTGGAGGCACAGGATCAGCAGGGCTGCCATCAGCCCACTCTGGGGGACCCCATCACCCCACCCTTCACTGAGCAGTGCTTCCGACACCTGCTGTGTGTCCAGTCTGGAGGGGATGTGGGAGGAAGTGCACAGTGTGGACTGCACCCATCTCCCATGGGTCCCCCAGATCCTGGGGCCATTCCCGAATCTCGCTCACCTGGACCTGCACACCTACCTTGTACCAGGTCACCGAGGGCTGTGGGTCGCCCTCAATGACAGCCTGGAATTGGGCCATTGTGCCTGTCTGTGCCTGCACATCCTCGATGGTTACCTGCATGGATGGGGGCCCTGGGAGGGCAGGGAGGGAACCATGGAAACCACCTCCCCAGCCACACAACCCTGGGTGCCAGCCACAGCCCACCATGCCTGGGTGGTTGTTGAGGCCCTGAGATACACTGTGGGCAACTGAACGCCCCCCACAGCCCAAGCAACAGCACCCCATCCTGACTGCCCAGGCTTCTGACAGTTATGGGTGCTCCTTCAATGGAACCACTGCCTCTCCCACTCTGACCTCAGCTGGCCAGGTGATCAGGAGGAGTTGGTGGGGTCAGTGGAGCTCACTAACTTGGCTGCCGTTCTCAGGGACAGGGTCCTATTAACACCAAGTTCACTGCCACTTGCGTCTCCCCAGTGGAGGGTTCTGGCCCCTCTGAAGGGACACAGTGAGTAGAATGTGGGCGTCCCAGGCTGGGGCAGGGCTGAGACAGGCTGGGTGGCCTCTGCAGATGTGCAAATGCCCCCCAGCCCTGGACAGGGGGTATGGGGATCACACTTATAACCCAGCTGGGCCCAACCCCATACTTGCGGTGTGTGTGTTGATGGCCTGGTATGTGTAGGTCCTCTGTGTAGTCTCCGTGACCACGTGGCTATGGACGTCCCAGAGCAGCTCCCCTGTGCCTGCCCCAGGCCTGGCTGCACCCTCCATCCTGGGGTTAGGAAGTGGGGTGAGGCTCTGCCGGGCCCCTACACGTTCTGAGCAGCCAGGCCTCCCGATGAGATAGGGTATCCCTGCTCATCACCACTAGGAAGGGGCTGCAGCAAAGCCTCTCTGGGATGAGATGTACAGACGGGTGCCCAGCCCTTAGTGTGGAGGGGGCCCCCCAACACCTCTCATCCCAAGGGTGGCCTCTCCTCCCAGACCTGCCATGCCTGGGGTAGCTGCTGGCAAAGAGTGGAGGGCTGTGAGGACACCGCAGTAACTCGTGCCCTGCCCTGCCTGCCCAGAGATGTCCCCTGGGGTTGGTCCCCAGTGCAGGACCCAGCAGTCTGGGGTGGTTACCGAATGGGCACAGTCCATTCCTGGGCTCTGGCAATGGCCTCTGGCTCCTGCTCTGGGCCTTCGTGGAGGAGGGGCTGTGGCACCCTCTGGGACACGGCTGCTGGGAGATGAGGGCCTCATGAGATGGAGCCCAGGTGGTACCCGCATCTGGTCCCCACATTCCCAGGCTAGGAAAGCCCAGGCAGAGCTTTGGGCTCCCGGGGCCCTGGGCTGTGGGTGAGATCCTGGCAAGGTCCTAGGCCCCAAACCCAGTACCCAGCCCACAGCTCAAGCATGTGCAGTTAGCCACCCTGCAGAGCCCAGGTGCCAAGCACCCTCCATATCCGACCTGGTGCCACCAGCCCCGAGGGTCCCCTGCCCACCCGCCAGACTGACAACTGGATGCGGTGGCCTCTGCCCTCTAGAACACTCCCTGACAGCCAGGCAGGACAGGCAGCTCTGTCTCAGCACCGTGTGTGCCAGGAGCATTCAACAGTTCCTAGCATGCAAGCAATGGTGGGCAGGATCCAGAGGGCCAGGGCATCACCCCATGGGGCTGCCCAGAGGTCACAGGTAGGGCCCTTGACACCGCTCCACCCAGCTGTGAGGGAGAGGACAGGAGAGACCCAGGGCAGACTGGGTAGAGGAGTGGGGCTCGGGACAGCCCCGGCCGGTGGCACAGGCAGCGCAGGCAGGGCAGGTGGCTGTGGGAATACACTTGAGCTTCAAGCAGGTGGACGAGTGGAAAGGGTGTCCGCCACAGGCAGGGCGGGTGGGGTCATGGCCAGAGCAGGCCAACCCATGCCCACTCTGCAGAGGCATCGGGCAGAGTGAACGAGCGTCAGGCCTGTGAAGGAGCCCACGATCTGCCCCGGATGGGCCAAGCGGCACCTAGGGCGGGTTTGTCTGCTCAACCACTGTGGCCCTGGCACACAGCCCATTGGATGTGGCAGGGTACACTCCACCCACAAGGCAGAGTTCAAGTGAGGGCCAGGGCTAGTCCTCCCAGACCCCTGCCCCAGCCTCGGCCTGTCCTTCCCTTACGGACGCCGGCCTTCAGTCACTGCATGGGGAAGAGTGATAGGCAGAAGAATGAGAAGAGACCATTTCCCAGGGTGACAGGGATGCCGTGCCCCTTCTCCTGGGCCAGGCCTTGCTCCCAGCCAGCCCCGTGATAGGCAAACGGAGCAAATGTACACCAAGTTGGGGCCTAGAGAGACGCCCCTTAGCCCTAGGTGGCCCCAGGGTGCCCAGGCAGCTAGAGGGAGGAGCCTGCGCTCATTGAAGGCCTGGGGGCTTCCGTGCCTGTTGTGGAGAAGCAGACCTGAGGGGCTGGCCCTCTCATCTCATGGGGGAAGGCGGCTTGCTTGCCCCGAACCCTATGCCACCTGGCCTGCGGGAGGCCACAGAAGCAGCATAGGGACTGTGGGACTGTTGGAGCATGTGTTCAGGGGATTAAGCGTGAGACCATGGTGGGGGACTGTCCCGTGCTGTCCTTGGGGAGGGCACTGAGCCCCGGAGGTCTCATCCTGTTTGGCTCCAGCCTGACGGCCTTTCTCCAAGGTGATGGAACCAGGTAGGGGTGGCCAGGGAGGGTGCATCAGGGAAGCCCCTGCAAGATGGTGTGGGGTGACCAGAGTGGGTAGGCACACAGGATGCAAGGCCGTGATGGTCTTTTGTGTGAAGACAACCAAGGCTGGGGCTGGGCCAAAAGAGAAGGAGAAGGGGCATGGACCCGAGAAGCCCACAGAAGCAAGATGCAGAGGACGCTGGACGGGGCAGGGGAGGAGCCTGGCTGCCATCTTGCCCCAGCTCTGGCCTCGCTTCAGCCCCGTCCTCATGGCTCTCTGGACGCCTGACTCCAGGCCCCCATCCACCTGCGGTGAGCAGCAGGGATTTGGATGAGATTCCCCCAACCCAGGCCTCAGTTTCCCCAGATGCACTATCTGTCCCTTTAGGAAAAGTTCCTTGATCGGGGACCTGAAGACCGGGCTGGAGCGAGGCCAGGGCTCGGGCAGGTGGGCAGCCAGGCTCACACCCGTAATCCCAGCACTTTGGGAAGCTGAGGCAGGAGAATGGCTTGAACCCAGGAGTTTGAGAGCAGCCTGGGCAACACAGCAAGACCCCATCTCTACCCAAAAATAAAAAAAATTAGCTGGGCATGGTGGCATGGGAGCTACTTGGGAGGCTGAGGTGTATCACTTAAACCCAGGAGGTTGGGGCTGCAGTGAGCTGTGGTCGCACCCCTGCACACTGCAATCCAGCCTAGGTGACAGAGCAAGACCCCGTCCCAAAGACAAAAAAAGAAGAAGCCATTAAAGTGCTTCAAAACAGGAGACCCCCAACACCTGGGGGAAGGGGCTTGAGTGACCCATAGAGCTGGCTCTTGTAGCAGCCAGTCTGATCTGGTCTGTCTGGGGTACTGGCTGCTTCTGCCCCTCCCTCCTCCACCTCCTCCTTTCCTGTCTTCTGCCCCCTCCATCCCCCTCCTCCTCTCCCTCTTACTTCTCCCGTCTCCTCCTCCCCTTTCTCACCCCCTGCTCCCCCTCCTCCCTGTCTACTGAGGAGCACAGGGCACCTGAATTTGCCATCACAGGCCAACCACGGGAAGCCTCTGGCTCCTGGAACAGATTCAGAGCAGGAAGAACCTTCCAGAACCCATTCTGTGCCAAGATTCTGACAGGGAAACTGAGGCCAAGCAAGAGGTAGGCTTGGCCCAGGACCCCCAGTGCATGGAGCCACTGGGATTCCAAATCGGAGTCACTGGGGCCTGGCCAGTTCATGCCCATGTGATGGGTACCCTTCACGTTGCACAGCCAGGTTGGGGTCAATCCCTGGGGGTCTTTGTTGTCAGCATGCGTCTGGGCCTCACCGGGTGCCTCCGAAGATCCGGTGACTGGAGGTTGGGAGCCGGTTTCCTGGAGTGCAGGTGCCCCCCCGGGGCAGGGGCTGGGGCCAGTGAGGTCCCCTGTGAAGGGGCCTGGCACCCTGGGGCCCAGCAGTCTCTCCAGGACAGGTGTGATCTGGTCCACTCGCTCCAGGGTGGTGTCTGTAGAAGAGGCAGATGAGTGAAGAGCAGGTGAGACCCAGGGGTCTGGGATAGCTGCAGCCTCCGGAGGGGTCTCCAGGAACCCCGTCCCCCTCCTCAGAGACTGCCCAGGTGGTCCGACACTGGGCTCCTCCCCACCCACTCCCCTCTCAGGAGGCTGCCTGGAGGTGGAGGCCTGGGACACAGAGAGGAAAAAACCACAGACCCATGCTGCAGGCAGGCACTTCCTCCTCCTAGACTCCCTGCGAGCTCAGGCCCATCCTCCCCGGGAACCTTCAGGAGAGTGTCACCACCTCCAGGGAGCAGCCGGGCCTGGATACCTGCCCCAGGCCCTGGCTCTGCCACTGATCGCAACCCCCTACCAGGGCTGGCCTCTCCTCAAACCTGGGCACAGCCTGGTGCCAAGGCGAGAACCAGAGGAAGCTTGGGTTCAGTGGGTGTCCAGGCAGCCATGACCGTGGACCCCTCCCTGGGGATGGGCCCTCCCTCCCAGGGCAGCCCCTGCCTGAACTCGCCTGCCAGGGGCTTTCTCTTCTCCACCTGTGACCCAAATCTGCTCTCCCTTCTGCCTGCAACCCCAGCCCCGACCGCCCCACCTGGCCCCTTGCTGGCTGCAAGAGACTCCTCTAGAGCCCTGCTGGGCATGGTCCCCACTGGCAGCTCCCCCTCAGCAGCCTCCCCGTTCACCTGGCCATCAGCCAGGCATCTCGCACACGGGTCCAGCAGGTCACCTGCCCCAAGCCTCCCGCCTTGTTTGTGTCTTCAAGCCCTTGCTGAGGGCCCTTGCCGCATCCCCAGTCGCCAGCCTGGAGAGGAGACCTGGGCTGCTCTCTACATTGCCAGGGTACCCTCCTCTCTACCCTCCTCACTCCAACGCAGTCAGCAGGACCCCTGGGCCAGCCTCGGAGCTGGAAGGCTTGGGGTTGTCCTCTAATGGTGCTGGGATCGTCCGGCCAGAGACAATGAAGTTGACCTCTGATGCTGAGATCCCATGGGGTCACCACATCCCCACGTCTGCCATGACAACAGTCCCAGCTGCCCAGGGCTGGGGAAGGCCTGCCTGGTACCCAGCATGCTAGGAAGGAGCATGATTGGCTGTTCTGGCCATGCCGTGTGCCCCTGTGAGTGGCCTCTCCATGATGGGAACCAGCTGTCGCAGGTCCACTCAGGGACCCCAGGGTGGGCCGGGACTCCACAGGCAGTGGCCAGCCAGGGAACCTCACAGTCAAAGGCAGATGAGGGTATGGGCTCCCCTGAGGGCTGCAGGTGGAGGGGACCCAGGGCTGCCCAGTGGAGAGGCAAGGAGAGTCAGAGAGGTGTGCAGGAAGCTACTTTATTCTTGCTGAGAGACAGGCTGCTGCCCACACACAGACCCCATGTCCACCCTGCAGAGAAGGCCAGGAGGGCCTGCAGAGCTGGGAAGCACCCACCCAAGGGTCTCAGTCACCAAGACTGCAGAAGAGGCAAGGCCATGCCAGGCCTGGCAGCTGTGACCACGAGGGATGGACCTGGCCCACATGGGAACAGGACAAATGCCCAAGGCTACATCCTTCGTCCACAGTCCCAAGGCTCCTGCCAGGCTGAGAGGAAATAGCCCAGAGCTGAGGTCTTTGAGCCAGTCATTCTGATGTTACAAGCGCCACCCAGTCCTCCTGGCTGAAGTTGAGTGAGGTAAGAAGGGCCCAGGACCAGGGACAGGGAGGCCCTCAGGAGGCTCCTAGGGGCTGCTGCTGAGGCTGGGCAGCGTCCTAGGCCTCAAGGGCACGCCCCTCTCCCTGCTGCCCCAAGCCACCACAGCAGCAGCATCAGGGCTGTGCCCCCTCATCCCCATCCTTGTCTGGGCAGATGTGAAGGGTGACCGTCTCCCCCACTGTCCCAAAGTTGATGGTCTGGGTGGAAAGTTCTGTGGTGAAGCTGCTCTGACCACTGTCCACAGAACGCTGGATGCGAGTGCAGAAAGACTGCGTCCAGGGAGCACTGCCCACAGGCCGAGCCGGGGCTTCCCGTAAGAGGAAGGAGGTGGCCTCAAGGTTACGGACCTGGGGTCCTGGTGGTGATGCCCCACGGAGCTCAGGCCTAAAGAGGCCGAGAGGGCCTCGGGGACCCAGTGCATGCCCCACACTGAGCAGCACAGGTTGCCCCACCGTGGGCTCCCCGATCTCTCTCTGGATCACTGAGACCTCGCAGGGAGGGTCATCAGGGGCGCCGGGCCCAGGGCCACCACAGTGGAAGGTCTCCCCTTCCCCAGGCACGTAATCTTCCAGGTCAGCCAGTGTCAGCACGCGGCCGTTGTGCGTGAGGATCTTGGGGTCACGATCCCCAAGGCTGTGTGTGTCCTGGGACTCCTCCGTCACAAAGGCATCTCCGTCTTCCCCCTCTTCCTCTCCCGCCTCCTCCATGGTGCACTCCTCCTCCAGGGTGACGCCGGTCTCCTCCAGCTCCAGGCTGCCCACGTCAGAAGCAGCCCAGTCCACACTGCCTCTGGCATCCACGCGGAAGACGAGGGGCTCTCTGATGCTGACCATGGCTGTGCCCTGGGCCCAGGCCTCCTGGGCCAGCAGCTTGTTGTTGGAGTTGTTGGAATTGGGGTCTCCTCCGGGGGTCGCACCGGGCAGCGTGAAGAGATGCCCTGATGAGCTCCTGGGCACCTCTCTGGTGGGAGACACACCCTGCGGGCCCATCTTCTTCACCTGGACTTCAATGGTCTCCTCCACCTCCACCCACTTGGGCTGGGACCCCGAGAGTCTGGGCAGAGCTGGAGAGTGGGCCTCGGCCTCTGTCACGTACAGTGTGGGCACCACGGGCTTCCGGCCTGGCTCTGCCTCAGGCCTGCGGGGCTGGCCAGCCCCTGGCAGGTACAGCAGGTCAGGGGCCAGTAGGCCCGGCCTCAGTGGGCTGGCAGAGCAGCGGGAAGGTGAGCGGGAGGGGGACTTGCTGGGGGACCGTCGTTGGCCACGTGGGCTCTTCACCACAGTGGTGATGGTCTCTTCTCTGGGGGAGGGAGGAGAGGGCCCGAGAAAAGATGGGCACAGTGCCCAGGATTGCCAGGGCAGCGTAAGAGCTCAGGTTATTGTACCAGCAAGCGAGCGGTGAGAGTGCACAAAGAACTCTTACACATGCATGTGAGCCCAACCTGCAGAGTCCCCCACCCCCTGCCATAGAACCAAAGAAACAAAGCACAAGGTCCCATGTGGCCAACCTCAGTCTCTGGTGTGCAGATCTGAAAACAAGAGGTGAGGTATATGGGGAGGCCCGTGCCGCACTGCAAAGGCAAGTGCCTCCAAAAACTGGGTCACATCCTGAGTGCAGTGGCCCCAGTGACAGTCTCCCCTCCAGGTCCATCCCACCAGCAGGCTTTGTGCTTTGTATCATGGGGGACGGTGAGTGGCCAACTCTAAGAGGGCAGGGCCTGCACACCCTGAAAATCCTCAGCCAGGGATGGGCTGGACAGCTCATGCCGCGGGGGCGGGGTGGGGGTTGAGCTCAGACCTTTTCTCCTAGCCTTTGGGTCTGAGAGTGTGAGGCCTGGAAAGGCTTTAGGCAGGCCAAGGAAGAAACCTGGCTGGATACCTGGCCCCAGACTTGGCTTGGCCGTGATGAGCCGTGTGATGTCAGACAAGCCCCTCCTCCTGCCTGGTTCCATCTCCCAAAATGGGACTGGGGAGGAGTGATGGAGGCAGAATGCAAGGTCGGCTGTATGTGGCTGTGCATGGAGCACTTTGCAAGTTCTCTTGTCTGACTCTGTAGTAACCTGGGAGAGGGTCTGATCCCACTTCATAGGGGACAGAGAGGCTCAAAGAGGCTCAAAATCTGCCTGGGGCCAAGAGGGAGAAGTGCAGCAGTCAGCCCAGGTCCTCCTCTGGTGCCCGGTGTCCCTGACCTTGCTGAGCACTGAGAGCAAACTGAGTAACAGGTAGGGAAGCAGAACGTGCTGAGTAACACACAACACATACCAGTTTCCTGCCTATTACTCATTTTGCCCTCAGCCCTGCACTTCCCTCAGGCTCAGGGCAAGGAATGTGGCACGTATGAGGTGACAAAGTTGTCACCACGTGAGCTACTGCCAGCTGTCTTCTTTGTCCAAGGTACTGCCTCTCTCTCGTTTAGCTTTGCTTTTGTCTAATTCAGGGCTCCATCTGGAAGCAGTTGCTCCCAGGGATGAGCCCAGAGATGTGTGACCACCCCTTAGGGTGCACAGCAATGACAGGTCCTGCCTCCTCCAGCCCTCAGCTATTAAGGAGGGAGTGATGTATTCCACTTAACTGATGGGGAAGCTGAGGCTCAGAGATGTGGCCCACTCATGCCCACAGGCTGCTTTCCTGCCTCACACGCAGGCTCTAGGGCAGTACGCTTGTTGCTGAGAGCCTGGACCAGGCCCCATCTGCTCACCTCACGTTGCCCGATCTGCTGATGCAGGGTGGTAAGTTGAGTGCAGCCCAACAGGTGGATGGGGATGGGGACTCCTAAATATCCCCCCAAATGCCGGACTCACTGCTACCCGCACAAGGACACATGGGCATCCTGTACTGATACTGCAAGCACAGCACATAGGGTCTGCCTCCAAGCCCTGTTTCCTTCTCGGGTCTACTGCCTCCCTGGTGCCTCTACCTGTGTGGTCCACCCTTGGGTTCAGCGCTATGCCTATGCAGTTGGCTCCCTCCATTCCTCAAGTTGAGTGGGTAAATTATTCTTTGCAGGGTGAGGGTTCCCACCTTCCTAAGCCTGGAACAGACTGGACTTGTATGCTTGTAAATCACCTGGTCCTCCCTTCCCTAGGCATGAGTCGCCTCTGAAGCTTTGCCAGTGAGGCATTCTGGCTGCATCTCTGCTCCTCCATTTTCTTATCCATAAAATGTAGATAATAATAGTGCTCCCAAAGGGACAAAATGTAGAACTAATCTATGTGAGGCTCTGGCACCGTTGCATACCTTCAGGAGTGGGGTGCTCACGAGCATCCAGGCAGTCCCATCTATTGTGGGGTGGCATCATAGAAGCAACTTGCTTTAGGGAAGGAGGGAGAAAGCCAAAGAAGGGTTAACCCAGGATCTCAACAAATGTCTGGCAATGGGATTTTCCTATAATAGGGCCAACTGAAGGCCCCTTTTGGAGGTTGTAGGCCCCTTGAGAACTAAGAGTTTTCCCGTGCTGGAGCTTCTCAGCCATCTGGCCTTAGGAAACCATAGTCTTTCCTGCCTCCTGGCTTTTGCAAGCTCTTCCATCACTCCCACCTGCACACACCTTCTATTGGAAGTCCTCTCAGATTATTCAGGTCAAAACCAACCCTACATTTATGGGTTCACCCAGTTCTGGTCCTCTTGTGTTACTTCAGCAGCAGCAGCATGTGTGATTTTGCTAAATCCTTGAGGCACTGAAGGATGAAGAAAGGGACGGTGGGCATGGCACTGGGGAAGTGGGATCTCCGCTGGCTTCCAATCATTAGCCACCCGGAGCTAACCTCTTCTCTTCCCTGAACTTCAGTTTCCCCATCTTCCAAATGTGAAAATCAGGCTTGGGGACCTCTAAGGGCCCTAAGGCTGTGCTGTCCACTATGAGTGTACTATGCAAATTAAATTCAAATGAACAAAAATTAAAATTTAAAATTTGTCCTTCAATCACACTAAACACATTCCAGATGCTTCAAAAGACGCATGTAGCTAGTGGCTACTGTAGTGGACAGGGGAGATATAGAACATTTCTTTTTATTTTTTTTCAAGACAGAGCTTGCTCTATTACCCAGGCTGGAGTGCGGTGGCGTGATCTTGGCTCACTGCAACTTCTGCCTCCCAGGTTCAAGCAATTCTCCTGCCTCAGCCTCCCGAGTAGCTGGGATTACAAGGGCCCACCACCACACCCGGCTAATTTTTGTATTTTTAGTAGAGACAGGGTTTCACCATGTTGGCCAGGCTGTTCTCGAACTCCTGACCTCCTTGGCCTCCTAAAGTGCTGGGATTACAGGCGTGCACCACTGTGCCCAGCCAATATAGAACATTTCTATCATCACAGAAAGTTCTGTTGGACAACACTGTCGTAAATCCCAGGGTGCTGAGGATTAGAATTCTGTCTCTGGCCCACTGAGGAAAGCAGCTGTCAGGCCTAGCACCTGATGAATCCCTGGATGAACCACTGTGAAGTGTGTGGAATAAGTCTACTCTGCTGAAATAGTGGGACCATGGAGTGTACTGAGGCCCTGGAAGAGAGAGCTGTGAAGTGTGGAGGTAATCGAGGCCCCAGGGGAAGGTGCCTATGCAAGGTAACTGCAAGTACCTGTAAGGTGCTGGCAGTCAGAGGGTGAATGTTACGTGAGCAGACAGGCGGCAAGCAGGTGGCTAGGCCACACGGGCATGATCCAGGCAGGTCAGTGGCATGCAGGAGGCACTGCAGTCAGAAGGAAGGTTAGGAACACGCCTGCACTTACATGATGACGGTTTTCTTGGGGACTTTAGTCTCTTGCTCAGTGACTACAAAGAAAACAGTCGGAATAGCGAGGGTTACAGACCAGCCAGTGCTGGGGGCTGAGCTATCTGAGTGGCACAGCATTATAGTCGCCTGCTAAGCTGCCCCTGGGCAGGCTGTCTACTCAGAGCCCCAGTTCTCTGGTCTCTGACATGGAGGTGACGATGCCTTTCCTGAGTGGCTGTGGAATGAGGGCTGAGGACAATGTGTTCCCTCGTGAAGGCAGGACCCACTGTCCCTCTCGAGGGTCTTGCAGGGTCTCGGGGGTCTCTAGGGTCTGGGGGGAGAATGAAGACCCTACCTATGCTCCCAGCACATAAATCCCAGCTTCTCCTTCAACCCATGTGCCAAGGGAGCCCTGTGAATTTGTCAGACCTACAATCCCACTTCTCAGACACAGAAACCAAGTCCTAGAAGGGAATACATGGCCTATGGCTGCATAGGGAGCCAGCAGCTACACTGAGGCTGAGGCAGTTGGGGCCTCTGTTACAAAAAATCCTCAGGAGAGAGGGAGTCTGGAGTCCTGAAAGTGGCACACCTGAGCTTTGTGGCACAAAGCCACAGAAGTCCTGCCAAGAACAGCCCCAGGGGATGCCTGGGCAGGGTGCTGAGCTCCGAGTGAGGGTCAGCCCAAATCTCCCTATAGGAGCATCCTCAGTTCACACACTCCATGGTCTCTCTTGGTTTTCCTAGCTGCCTCCCTCCCCAGAGCCAGCAGGATGGGGCCTGTGGTTCCAGCTATGGGATGGGACGCATCTGGGATCAGGCAGCTCCTCCTTCCAGTTCACCTCAAGGACTCCTCCTCTGCAGCTCCCGGGCAGAATCATCAGGGCACAAAGATGGCCCCCTCCCAGCCCTAGCCAGCTGGCCAGTGGACAGTCCACAGGCCACCAGCACCTTCACATCTCAGTGACCCTTCCCAGCACCCTGAGGGAAAAAAACAAGCAGGAGGCCCAGAAAAGTCAAGTAACGTGGCCTGGGGCACACGGCCTCACAGCTCTGGGTCGGGGGTGGGACACCGTCTGCTTTGCTAGATTGCCATGTGAAGAAAGGCTTTACACCTGTCTCAGATGAGAAGCACATGAATTTCAGGGACTACCTGCATCTATATGTACACTTGCAAGCCACACGTACTGTGCATTTCTGGGCACACACATGCAAATGTGTGTACGTGCATGCATATGTGGTGCATGCACATGTATACATATGTGTAAGTGTGTATTTCACAGGCTCCCCCTGGAGAGAGGAGTGCCCATGGGAGGAGAGAATGAGATCCAACCAAAAGGCTCTGTGTGTTTAGACTAAGCTGACCCCAGAGAAAGCCAATGTGTCCACCACCTGCAGGCCAGTGATGGGAACTACAGAGTGATGGGAAAATCCAGGGCCTCCCCACTCATCCTCCCTGTACTTGGGGCTGACAGCCAGGCACCTCTGGGCCCATACACTCTCTGGCACCTTCATTCATGTACCTAAACTGCCACCTGATCAGCTGTGGGCCAGAGTGAGTATTTGCGACCATGGGAGGAGTGCAGCCGTGCGCAGCATGATCCACAAGCAAGGGGGCAGCGCCCACCCCGCAGAGGCCTGCCAGGGCCTGTTCGGGCCGCAGAGCTGCTGGGTTAAAGATGAAGCAGCAGGATAGGAGTTAGAAGCGGGGAGGTGTTGGCTCCAGCTTCAGGGTCTTCAAGGACCTGCGTTCTCACCTCGCCGAAGTGCCAACACCCTGTCCAGCACTGGTGGCCTCTCTCCCCTGCCACCCCCTCCTCCAGACCCAGAGAGAGATTTGTTGTGACAGCCAAGTGAACGACTGTGGAGGACACTCCTGTCACCAGCAAGAGGCAGCCCTGGGTGTCCCAGTGTCCCAGTTGGGCACCTCCCTGGCCGTGAGACACAAGACTCATGGGAGGCTGAGGTGCTGGCAGCTCCAGAAGCAGTTGTGTGTGGTGCTGTGGCCACCAGCTGTGGGGCTGACGGAGGTCACAGGGCCCCCAGAGACACATCAGACATGGGGCACTCGCAGTCAGGGGTTGGCCAGTGCCTGTGGCACTGTGTAGGCTGAGGAACAAGGACATTTGCCCAGCAAGGGAGGGGTCTCCCTGAGGGTCATGGAGGGCATCAAAGATGGCCCAGCTCTGTGGGGTCCAGAGGGGCAACTGGCTTTCAGACACTGGGCACTGGGAGAGACAGTTGAGGTGGGGTTGCAGGAGCCAATGTTTAAGACTTGGAGGACACGTATTCCAACCCAGGGTGAGAGTTGCAGCTCCGCCAGTTGTTGAACCAGCCTCCACTTGCATGTCCCCAGTGATGGGAGGCTCAAAACCTGTCCAGACGGGCAGCCCAACTGGGAGCCCAAGATGGATGCCCGATGACCCCCTTCCCATCCTGGCTGCCCTGCCCTGAATAAAGCATCCGGGAGCCTGGAGGAATGAGGTGATGTGTCCCACCTTTCCCCCGGCCCATCACCTTCCACCCCTAGTGAGGTCATTCTGCAGCCCAAGGCCCTCCCAGGAACCCAGGAGCAGTCCCAGACCAGGCCAGGTCTCTCCACAACCAGCCCTACCCTCAATGGAGGGGTCAGGCCCCTGACACTTGCCCCTTCTCCTGGGAGCCAAGCTGGGGCCCAGTGGCCTGGCCCTCTGCAGAGACGTCCTTCCTACTGTTCCTGCCGCAACCTCCCCACTGCCTCCTGCCCACTGCCTCCTGTCCACCACCGGCGAGCTGCCCTGGGTGTAGGCCTGGCCTCTGTGCACAGGCTTTCCCTCTCTGGACCGCAGCAGGGCTTTGGGAACCCCGCTCACCCAGAGTGACCTCTTCAGCCTCCACTCAGGCTCTGGGCTCAGGGCCCACACTCCACCAGCCCACACAGGTGCTGCCTCCAGCCGGGGGCTGGGACTTGTGCCTGGCCCGCAGCAGCCTCCTCGTCTCCCATCTGTGGCTCTCCCTGCCCCACGATGCCAGCCCAGCCCTCCTCCAGCGTCCTCCAGGCAGCAGACCCTGACTAGGAAAGGTGAGAGTCATGTCCCCCCGGGCATGGCCAGGCCTGTGAGGGTCCAGCGTGGGTCTGAGCCGTGGGGAGCTGCCTTGGTGGCAAGGACAGGGGTGGGACTTACCTTCCACTGCCCCCGCGAGCTGCTCCCTGTGGCACTGCTCCCGGGCCTGCAGCGTGGGGCTCTGAATGTGCAGCTCTGCACTAGCTCGTGTGGAGCCCAGCCGGTTCACCAGCTGCAAGGACAGCAGGGCTGGCTCAGAGCCCAAGGCTTCTCACGGGCAGGGCCCTCTCCCTGTGGCCATGTTGGGAACATGGGCAGCCTCCATCCTGGTGTGTCCCCCACAAGGGGAAGGGCCCCAGCCCAGCCACAGCATCCCTGGGGGACCCACATGGCCCTAGGGTCCCCTGCAGTGATGAGGATGCTCTCCGTCTGCCCTGTCCACGTGCAGCTCTGAGCATGGGACATGGGGCCAGAGCAGCCAGGGAACCGAATCTTTAACTGAACTTAACTTCGTTTTACGTATGTTTTAAAGCTGGGTCTCGCTCTGTGACCCAGGCTGGAGTGCAATGGCACGATCTCAGCTCACTGTAGCCTTCAACTCCTGGGCTCAAGGGATCCTCCCACCTCAACCTTCCGACTAGCTGGGACTAAAAGTGTGCACCATTGTGCCTGAGTAATTTTTTAGTTTTTTTTTTTTTTGCCTATGCATTTTCTTTTATTTATTTATTTTTATTATACTTTAAGTTCTAGGATACATGTGCACAACATGCAGGTTTGTTACATATGTATATATGTGCCATGTTGGTGTGCTGCACCCATTAACTTGTCATTTACATTAGGTATATCTCCTAATGCTATCCCTCCCCCCTACCCCCTCCCTACAATAGGACCCGGTGTGTGATGTTCCCCTTCCTGTGTCCAAGTGATCATTTCATTGTTCATTTCCCACCTATGAGTGAGAACATGCGGTGTTTGGTTTTCTGTTCTTGCGATAGTTTGCTGAGAATGATGGTTTCCAGCTGCATCTATGTCCCTACAAAGGGCACGAACTCATCCTTTTTTTTTGGCTGCATAGTATTCCATGGTGTATATGTGCCATATTTTCTTAATCCAGTCTGTCACTGATGGACATTTGGGTTGATTCCAACTCTTTGCTATTGTGAATAGTTCCGCAATAAACATACGTGTGCATGTGTCTTTATAGCAGCATGACTTATAATCCTTTGGGTATATCCCCAGTAATGGGATGGCTGGGTCAAATGTTATTACTAGTTCTAGATCCTTGAGGAATCGCCACACTGTTTTCCACAATGGTTTAACTAGTTTACAGTCCCACCAACAGTGTAAAAGTGTTCCTATTTCTCCACATCCTCTCCAGCACCTGTTGTTTCCTGATTTTTTAATGATTGCCATTCTAACTGGTGTGAGATGACACACCAGTCAGACAAACATAAACCCTGTTTAAGAGACAGGGTTTCAATATGTTGCCCAGGCTGGTCTCAAACTCATGAGCTCAAGGGATTTTCCTGCCTTGGCTTACCAAATTGTTGAGATTACTGGCGTGAGCCACAGCACCTAGCTTTGGATTTAACTTTAGTTGATTTAAATTTAAATTTAAATCCCCATGCATGGCTAGTGATGGTATTAGTGCAAATCAAGAGCTCACTTGGGTCTCTGGTTTCCCCAGCCAGAGTGGTGTGGGGCAGGCTCCCCACAGGCTCACAGCAGCAGCTACATGGTGGGGGGTGGTGGCCAGACAAGTGCCCCTGGAGGAGCTGGACAGAGGCCAGCGCCTGGGGTCTGGGGCACCTACAGTTGGCACACAGCCACCATGACCACCACAACCACTGCAGGCTTTGAAGGGCCGGAGGACTGGCACTGGGCCCCACCCTGGGGAGCCCCTGCCCCGGCCCTGCAGACACAGTGGCTGGAGCAGAAGGCAGCTCTGTCCACCTGTAGGCTGGACATCTCCACAGGTAAAAGGTACCTGAGCAGGGCCAGGCTACACTGGATGACTGACACTCCATTTGACATGAATGACAAAATTCATGAGGCCATGCCGGGCCCCCCAAAGGCAAAAACCAAGTGGCATCCTTGAAATGGCCAGGGAAGCCAAGGAAGGCATCCAGATTGACATGGGAGCCGAGGAGAGGCTTCGGGGCAGAGGAAGAATAAGGCCAGGGCATGGGGCAGTGGTGTGGCCAGGGATGACAGTGACAGTGGCATGGTGGCCCCCGCCTGTGATGGGGGGGTGAGAGTGGCATGGTGGCCTCTGGCCTGTCATCAAGGAAGGGTGTAGCAGTGGGTATGGTGCCCTCTGGCCTCTGCCAAGAGCCCTCCACCTTGGGGACAGGGCCTGGGCTCTTAAGCCCCTCCACAATCAGACCCCAGAAGACGGCCGGCACGGATGGCCTGGGCCCCGAGGCAGGTCTCCACTCCTGCACCTCTCACCTCACACTCGTAGAGCCCCAGGTCCTCCTTGCCAGCCGCCCGGATTACCAGCACTAGCAGGCCGCTGCGAGGCTCACTCAGTGTCTGGAACTTGCTGCCAGGGGTCAGCAGGGCCCCGTCCTTGTACCACCTGGAATCCACCCGGAGGGTACGTGAGGCAGGCAGGACTCGGGCCATGCTCTACCCCACCGGCGACATCCTCCTATGTCCTGTCTCAGGGCCAAACCCGGCTGTGCTATCTGTGCTCACGACCCAGCTGCCCTGCCTTCAGACCCCGGGGGTCCTCAGAGAGCCCACCCTTCCAGAAGCCAAGACACAGCCTGGCCATGTCCTCCTGGCTGAGGGGTGTCCCACATCCAGAATGAACCAGAGCCCCACAAAGCCCATTCTCAACTGAAGGCCAGTGGCCATGTCCAGCCCAGCCCTGACACGGGAACACATGGTCCGTGCCCCATGCTCCAGGTGGGAGCCGGCCCCCTCATGCCCCATCCCCAGGCAGGCCTGGGCCCCACCTGATCTGCGGGTATGGGGCGCCTTCGATGGTGCAGGTGAACTGGGCATCCTCTCCCTCCACAAAGGGCGAGGCTCGGACCTGGTTCATGAACCGTGGTGGGACTGTGGGGTTGTGAAGGGAAGAGACAGAGAGAGAGAGAGACAGATAGAAACATAGAGACAGACAGACAGAGACAGACATCGAGAGAGAGATAGAGACAGAGACAGAAAGACTTACAAAGAAAGAGACACAGACAGAAAGATAGAGATGGAGAAACAGAGAGAGATAAAGATACAGAGAAGGAGAGACAGAGAAAGAAATATAGAGAGAAAAATAGAGAGAGAGACAAAGAGACAGAGATGGAAAAACAGACAGAAAGAGACAGAGAAAGAGAAATTGAGACAGAAATAGAGACAGGAAGAGAGAGAGAGAGACATAGACATCGAGACCAGAGATAAAGAAACAGAGACAGAGAGACAGATGGAGAAACAGAGACAGAAAGACAGACAGACAGAGAGACACATAGATAGAGATGGACAAACAGAGACAGAAGGACAGAAGCAGAAAAAAGACATACAGAGACAGGGTGACAGAGACAGAGATCAAAGGACAGAGATAGAGACATACAGACATGGACAGACAAAGACAGAAATAGACACAGTGCATCAGACACAGAGACATACAGAGAGACATAGAGATGCCATGACGGAGCTGAGGCTGATGCCAGGGAAGGGGCTGCAGGGTCCCCACCCCTCCCAGTGCCCTCTATGAGCCCCCAGTGATCCCCTCAGAACATGGTTGGATGCCCATCCCACTGTCCCACCACCCCGCCACAGCTGGGCCTGCCATGGTGGGAGGGTCAGGGTGGCTCCTCCCCCAGGAAGGCCTCCAGGCTAACCTTGCACCAGGATCTTGCCCAGGGTACTGCAGTTGCCAGCGGCGCTGGCCGCGAAGCACATGTACTGGCCAGAGTCTACACTGGTCAGGCTGTCCAGGATGAGGGCACATGAGCCATCAGGGTCTTCAATGAGGATGTGGTGGGAGTCCACCTGCACTGGTTTCCCATCTGGAAAGGACAAGCGGGGGCCATCACTCAGGTGGGGACCCAGGGGCTCACTCCATTAGCGGGGAGAAGCTGGGCCTGGCCTGGGGGCTGCAGTCATGGTCGGGGAGGGGACGGAGGGGCCACACTTGCAGCACAAGGGCCAGGCACGGGCTCCCTGCCGGGTCCAGCTTCCAGGTTGACCTGCAACCCTGGAGGGAGAGGCTGACACGAGCTCCCATTCTCTCTGTTGTCTCTGCTTCTCTGTCTCCATCTTTCTTCGTCTGTCTCGGACTCAGCTTCTTTCTTTGTCTCTACCTCTGTGTCTGTTTCTATTTTCTGTCTCTGTCTCTCTTTCTGTCTCCTTGTTGTCTCTGCCTTTGTGTCTGTCTCTGACTCCACGTCTGTCTTTATCTGTCTGTGCCTTTTGTGCCTTTCTGTCTCTTTGTGTCTCTGTCTCTCACTCTGTCTGTCTCTTTCTCTGTCCACTTTGGACACTAGCTAGAGGCAGGGGCAGGCCAAGGGACCTGAGCCCCACAGAGGACATCCTCTATGGGCAGCTGAGTCCTTGGTCACCTCAGCTCTCAGCAGTCCTGCAATGTTCTGAGGACCTCTAACGCACTGACTGCACCCCAGCTCACAGCACCTTGATCCCCTCTTCACCCCTGCCTGCCCAGCCTAGGGCCTGCAGCCCCTTCTCAAAATCACTGCCCACAGCCCTCCATGCCTTCTTTCCCTGCACCTGCTCCTGTGGAGAGCACGGCAGCCCAAAGTCTCACCCCCAGCTCCACTCTCCTCTCCCAGGCCACATCCTCATGCCTCCAAATGCACAGCCTTCTAATACGAATATCTGAAGACTGAAGAATGTGAAGTAAATCACCTTGGTATGAACACACAACTGACTACACCTCTCTGGCCAAGGCATGCTTCCTTCCCAGGTGAGGGACCAGAAGGCACGGCCTCTCACTGTGGAGAACTCCTTCCCACATAATGTCTAAATATATAAAACAGCATCGATTCACATTCCAATAGTGTCGGGTGTGCCCCACAGATTGCTTAAATCACAAAGGTCACAACCAGCACTAACTTATGATTTGTATAGAACTATAAGAGATATATATTATATATATACACACACATATATATAAACATTATACACACATACACGTGTACACACATACACATATATATTTGTAGAGATGGAGTCTTGCTCTGTTGCCCAGGCTGGAGTGCAGTGGGGCGATCACAGCTCACTGCAGCCTCGACCTTCTGGGCGCAAGTGATTCTCCCGCCTCAGGTGCGCCACCATGCCTGGCTAATTTTTTTAACTTTTTGTAGCAACAGGGCCTCACTCTGTTGCCCATGCTGGTCTCAAACTTCTGGGCTCAAGCGATCCTCCCCCCTTGGCCTCCTGAGTAGCTGGGACTATAGGTGTGAGCGACCCCACCCAGCTCAGAAATAATCTTTAATTTTTTTCAAAAACCTTCTAGTTACCACCTCAGATTTCTGCACCCCTTTATGGCAACTCCAGAAATGAGCTGTGCTCACATCCTCCAGGGCATCTCTTCCCATCCCCACTAAGCCCATCCCCTAGGCTCCATTTCTCTCCCCCAAAGCTACCAGCAGTCAGGGCCGCCATGCTACCAGCAGCTCTGTCCTCATCTTGCTGTGAGAAAACAATTCTCCCTGGAATTCAGATTCCACATTTCAACCCTCTGAGCAAAGGCACTCACAGCCAGGTTTAGAAGAGAAGAAGAAGAAGAGAGTAAAGTAGAAAGTAAGGAGAGTGAAGCAGAAGATGCCCGTCTGCCTGGCTGTGTTCCAGGGCAACAGAGACAAAACCCTTCCATTCCTTTCCTGGGAGACATTTCTGCATCCCAGGGTAGGAAGTCATCCACTATCTCTGGAGTGAAACATGGGCAGATGTACCAGCAGCCCCATAAAAAGAGCTCCAAGTCTCCTAAGATTCAAGATTTCTCTCTCGTGGGGCAACCCCTGCATGCAACTAACACCTGGTTCCATCGCCTCCTCACAGAAATGGGTGGGGGCAATGATGAGAGACACTGAGGCACTGCTGGTAAAAAGTCTTTGTCTCTGACCCATGAGTCTTGTGTCTTTTGTCTACATCTGGCTAGCAGGCTGGCTTGCAAGATTGCAAGTGGGGTAAAATTGTGGGCCCTTCACAGTTTTTGATTTACAATTTTGGAGACAGGGAAGTGACACTGTCAGAGGCATGGCCTTCTGGAAGGAAAAGAAGAAGTGGCCCTGTGGATCTCTTTCTCTACTTTGTTGCCCTGCTAAGGAGAGAAACTAGGCAGGTAGTTGCAGTCTGAGAACTGAGGAGTGGGTTCAAATACAGACACCTGGGCGGTGCCTTGGTTGGCGCTCTTTCTCCAGTCCCTGCCAGGGACTTTGCTGGTTCAGCCTCAGTTCAACCACTTCACAATAAATGCCAGAGCCAGTGCTGAATCTGAAGGAAGACTCCGACCCTGTTCAGACCACAGCCACGGACACTCATGCCTGAACTGAGTGCTCGGGTAGGGCCACCAGCAGCCACGATGGGCGAGGCAGGAGAGGGCTCAGCCCATCTAGCTCTGGCTGGTTCGGAGGGGAAAGGATGGGCACCAAGCCCGCACTCAGGAAGAATGGCCACAGCTTGGGTGTCTTGTGGAGCAGCCTCCTGCATCCAGCATGCTGGCCTTCCATTCTTCTGGGGGTGACAGTAGGGGATCTATGTGTTTGCAGTAGAGACAGGGTCCTACCTCCATGGTTGGCTGAGCCACGGAGGTGTGTCTTGTTCTGTCATTGTCCTCTAACCCCTTCCATCCCCTCTATACCAGATCCTTTCCTGGCTCAAGCAACTTCCCTGAGATGACAGATTCCCCCAAGGGAAGGCAGAGGGGACACGGCAGGGAGTGCATGGACTCCTCCTGCCATGGTCTGCCAAGCAGCCAAGATCACAGGCATGTGACACCATGCCAGGCTCAGAGATAATTTTAAATAGGTTGGCAGGTTAAAGACACCTCTTCCTGGGGCAATGAACAATGAAGTGAATCAAGGCTGCTGATGGGGACACCCTGGCCAGACTGCCAAGGCTCCTGTGCAGAGCCCCCAGGACACCACATCACTAAGCCCCACCATAGGCAGGGTACAGACGCAGAATCTACATCACATGTCAGACTGAGGACATCCTGGAGAGACATTCTCAAGCCTACAGGAGAGGAGAACACATTGCATGTGGTGAACCCACTCTCCATCCTGGCAGACTGCTCCTATGAACCCAGTGTTGGGGTTCAGAAAACAAGACCCCAAAATGAGGGCCTCCCAAGCAGCCACAGAAGCAAAATTATCTCTCTGACCTTCTCCTCCCCTCCTGTCTCTAGCCCCTCATTCTCTTCCCAGGCTTCCATAGAAACTAGAATCCCTCTTCCCCAAGGCGGGTCATAGAAACCAGAACACCTTTTTCTCTAAAGCCAGCCACAAAGCCTAAAAATAGGACTCCAATTTTCTCTCCATCTTTCTGTGTAAAACTTGGCCATGAAGAAATGATCGGACCTACCTTGTTTGGCTGTAGATCCAAGACCCCCATTCCAGCAAGGGTCCTGCTTCTCACTCAGAAGGAAAGGACACTGCTCAGAAGGCCAAGAAGAATCCAGACACACAGGCATAGCAGGATGTCCCCACTCAGTCTGTTCTCACTAGATCCAACCCTATTTGCCCAATCCTATTTCAGCACAGTTGTCCATACTTTATGGAACCTAAGCATTAAAATAGACAGCTTCTTCTGGGTCTTTGGTCTTCATTCTGAAGGATCCAGTGTCTACACATTCAATAAATGTGTCTGCCTTTCCTCCTATCTGTTTGCCTTTTGCAAGCTGATTGTTCAGCGAACCTGCGGAGGGCCAAGGGGAATGTTCTCCATGGCCCCTAGGCCAGCTGTCCCTCTCCAGGCTCTCTGTGGAGGCCTACCTGCTATGAAGCTGCTTTGGGTCTCCAGCCACACCATGAAGGCGTGTGCCACGCACACCCCCTGCAGTTTGATGTCCTATGACATCTACCACAAGAGCCACTCAGCAAGGGGATGGCAGTCTGACTGTGCCCACCTCCTCTTGCCCTACAGACCTTTGGAAGGCAGTCCAGTCACCAAGGGCAGCTGTCCCCAGAGAGGAGCTCTCTCGTGCAAGCTGCCTACTGGTGGTTAGGAAGCGAGGGAAAGGGGAGGGCCTCCATCCACAGGGAAACCCAGGCTCTGCCATGACCAACCTTCGGTGGCAGCCTGGTCCAAAGGGAGCGGGGCTCAGGGCATTCAACTGGCTTCTGGCAGGCTTTGATAAAAAAGATTTTGTTCCTCTTGAACCTAACCTCCCGGAGGAGAGGTCTGGACAGGTGGCAGGAGGGAAGCTCCTAAGACCCCAGGGAGCAGGTGTTAATGACCCATCCGAGCCTTCCTCCAGAAGTATCCCAGGGCAGCCCTCCAAGCCATTGTGTTCATCAGCTCTCACCAGTGGACACCGGGATGGCCCCTCCCAACACACCCAGGCAAAACTCCCTAGAGTCCTTTCTCTCCAGCCCCGTCCTCAGTCATGGGCAGACCTGCGGGCCCAGCTGCTGTGGACAGGGAGAACAGGAAGGGCTGAGTGCCCGGATGGTGCCTGCAACACCAGGACAGCACTAGGTTATAAGGACTGAACTGGGGGCTTGGAGGCCGGTCAGCCAGGCCAGATGAGGTTAACCTGACAGCCTAGGTGACCCCCTGGGGGGTCATCTGGGAAGTACCATCAGTCAGTACTGATGTGTGCCTTCCTAGGAGTCCCCAAATTGTAAACAATAACTGTGTTCTCAAGACTTCCTGTGTGGGAGCCACACACGTGGCGGCTGTTGCCTTGGGGTGGTCCAGGGCAGTCCCACAGGTTGGCATCTCCCCTGCTGGGAGGCTTGATTAAATGCAGCCTGAGTTAGACTGGAAGGACGGCATACCAGCCAGCGTCAGTCAGATTAGCCAGGATGGCTGAGGGCTGGGCACAAGTGTAGGAAAATCCCCGAGCGGCTGGAGCCTGTGGAAATAGGGTGGAGCTGGGTCTCTTGGGGCACAATGCCCCATGGTTGGCCAGCTCCTGCAGCCCAGATGCTCCAGACAGCAGTGCTCACACAAGCAGACATTCCAGGACAGTGGAGCAGAGATGCCTCCCTCCCTGGAGACACCCAAGGTGATAAGATGCAGCCCCTGAAATCCATGGTGCAGCACATGCATGTGCAGGTTTCTCCCACACTACCCCTGAGAGTTGTGGCAAGAGCCTGTTCTGGCTGCTGCCTCACGTTGATGATGAATCATTTCTGTCTTGGACGTCTTGTGTCTTCTGTGTGTGTGCAAATAACTATACATGTATATATGTGTATATGTAGCATTTGTGCATGTTTACATGCAGATATGTGTGTAGTACGTATGCTTGTGTGTACCTATGTGTATGGTGGGTCTATGTGTATATATGTGTACTGTGTATGTATACATGCAGACAAGTGTGTAGTATTTATGAATATAAATATATGGTGTCTATGTGTGTAGCATGCATGTGTGTTGCATGTATCTGTGCATGTGTATTGTGTATGGTATGTGGCTGTGTACATATGTATATGTGTGCAGTATTATCTACGTGTGCACATATGTGTGGTCTCTAATATGTATATTTATATATGTGTAGTGTGTGCATACATGTACGTGTAGCTATGTATAAAGTGTGTGTGCATATGTAAAGTATGTACTTGTGTGTGTAATGTGCATGTATCTATGTGTATAGTGCATGTTTGCATGTATCTGTGTATATATCTATGTAGTTGTATAGGCACATGTAGTGTGCACTTGTGCATGATGCATGTGCATGTGGTGTGTGTGCATGTATGTGTACCTGTATAATGTGTATCTATGTACATATTCATGTGTATGGTATGTATTTGTGTATATGTATTGTATACTATGCATGTATGTGTAGTATCTGTATGTGTGGTGTACATCTATGTATATTACACATATAGTGTTAATGTATATGTGTGTGTAATGCATATATATGGGGTGTGTATGTACATATGCATGAGTGCATAGCATGTATCTCTGTATGTGTCTCTATGTACATGTGTGTACAAGTGTGTGTAATGTGTATGTGTGTAAACCGTGACAGGCTGACTTGCACATGTGTGAAGGGTAGAATGGGGACCCTGGCAGCCCTGGATGCCCCTGCCCACTCCCTGCTGGCCTCTCCCTGGCTGGCTTCCTGGGCCCCCACTTCCCTGGCCGCTCCTTCCCCTGGGTTCGCGTCCCCTCATTTCTGCAGACTCTGGAAGTGGGGGCTCTCAAGCCTGGGTGCTTGGGCCTCACCCCCTCCACATGCACTCTGCGTCTGCATCAACTGGCAGGTCAGATGCTCTGTGAGCTGACAACGTCCCATTCGTCGCCTCCGGCCACATCCCTCTTCTGAGCCTTACTTGTACTTCTCCGACCACCCCTCGGCCCCTCGGCCCCTCTGCCAGCATCACTGCAGGCACCTCGACTCTGTAGGGTCCTCCCAGGCCTGGTGCTTCTTCCTCCCACCCAGCCCCATCTGCACACCACCGTGCCTCTCCCCAGCCTTCTACCTTTGCAAACGGAACCACCCTGGTGGATGTCCAGCCCCAACTGTGTGCACATCTGGATGCCAAGCTCTTTCCACATAGCCAGCCACCCTATCAGCAAATCGGGCCAGCTCAGCCTTCAACACACCCCTGGAATCCACAGCCATCCCTGAGCCCGGGTCCCCAGCTCCAGCACGATGACTCCCAGGCTGGTGTCCCAGGTCCCCTCTTGGCCCTCCCCAGCAGGTCCCTGGCATTACAGCCAAGGTGACAGATGACAGAGCCAAACTGTGTCCCTCTGCTGCTCAAACCCGACATGGCTCCAGCACAGCTCCCCAGGGAGAAGTCTGCAGCTCCTAGGAGGTGATCTCAGGCCCTTGGGATATCCTGCCTGGTAAAAGCATCTGTTCTCCTTGGGAGCCCTGGGCCACATGGGATCATCTATGCTGACTGTGAGATTTCTGAGATTCCTGGGGGTCCCTGGGCCATACAGCATCAGCTTGGCTTCCAGAAGGGCTGGAGCCCAAGGCCCACCACAGAGCAGTGAGCCACGATTCCATGGCTGGGCCTGCAAAACCCTGAACACCATAGCCAGGGAAGCACCTGGTTGGCACCACCCTGTGCATGTCATCACATGCTGTCACTGGGAGAAATGATGCCCCCGGGAGGGGACAACTGGAAGTTCATGCCTAGTGCCACCTGGACCTTTCCCTAGGTAGCTCTCCCAGCAGCTACTTTAACCTGGGCCCTTTGGCTGCAATCAGCCCTGACTATGGGACTAGCAGCTTTGCAGAGCCGAGTCCTCTCACTGAACTCCCTCCACTCCATGTCTCGGCATCTCCGTGTCCCCAACCACGCTGCCTTTGATTTGGAAGGCAGGTGGCAAGTGAACATATGAGGCCTGTCCTTCGTGCCCCAGGCTCCCAGCCAAATCCCATACTGGGTCCCCAGCCCTCACAGCCTGTTTCTCTCGGGAGGCTCTTTTCTGTTGCAGGGCCAGCATCTTGGACAGGAAGGCCACAGCCCCCGGCCCCGGGGTTTACCTTTGTACCAGCTGATGACAGGCTTGGGTGTGCCTGTCACGCGGCAGGCCAGCTTGACTGTCTCACCCAGCTCGGCTGTGCAGTCAGCCAGCTCCTCTTCAAAGTCCGGGGGCCCTGAGGACACACACAGCCCTGAGTACTCTGTAGGGGGACATTGGGCTGCGGCACCCCCAGGTGCACCTGGCAGGTCATCTGCCTTGCACCACGAGCCCCACATCCGATGGTGTGGCCACTATGGGGACTGTCCTTTGTCGCCCCTCATCCAAGGTCCCCATCCAGAGTCAGGTGAGTGAGGCAGGTGTATGTTAAACAGAGAGCAGTGGGGGCTCGGGGGAAGATTCTGTTCTAGTTGAGGAAGCAGACCCTGGGCTGCCAGACCCTTCACAGCTCCTGACATGATCTGGGTGGGTGCCTTGAGCTTGGGGCCCCCATGGTATCCCCGACCTTGGGTCAGGGCCAATCCAACACCCAGCCCAGGGGCTCCCCATGAGGCTGTAGCCATTACATGCCACAGGCTGGTTGAGCCGTCTGTCCTAGGAACGAGCCCACCCCTCACACCCACCCAGGTAGGGACCTGTGCAGCTGCAGGAACAGGCTTGGGTGCCCCATCCTCGCTCAGCCACCTGGGCCCCCGGGGAGGTGGACACTCACGCCACACAGGCAGGGCCAGACGCTGCTGGATGCCACAGATCTCCTTCACCCACGAGTTCTTGATAATGGCTGTCCGTGCCTGCAGCAGGTACTTGCGCACCGAGTCCTCCCGCTCCTGCCACACCTCAAAGGCACGGTCATCCCCCTCCACCTGGTCATTCAGGTCGATGCTGCTCAGCTGTGGGTAGGGGAGGGTGTCAGCACAGGGATGGGGACACGGGCTGACCATCCTCAACAGATGTGGGACTCGATGAGGAAACATTCAGGCCACCCTGGACCAGCGGCTGCAGGCGTGGAGCTGAGGGACAGGGAGCCATGCCCAGCAGCCGGGAGCCCACAGACCTTCATCATGTTCCGGAACACGTAGCTGAAGGTATCGGTGCGGGAGTCTCGCCGGGGCTTGCAGATTACCAGGTGGTTGCGGAAGAGGAACACGTGACGGTTGTGGCCCTTCCAGGGCATTCGGGCCCCTGGCGCACCCTCCCACACGATGAAGTGGCCCTGGGGGAGGGTGTGGACTGTGGTCAGCCTGTGTTGGACCAGACTGCTCAGAGGTGCAGACCCCACAGCCACCCAAGTACCCAGTGCCCTGCCCAACTCATGCACACACCCCCACTTCCTGGCAGCCCCAGATGCAAGCCCCCAACACCCCAATATCCACCCACCTCACACGCATCTCCCGGCCCCGGCCCCTGCCCCTCCCCAACCTGGCGGATGGGCTCGCCCAGGGCCTCCAGGGTGCCCGGGTACTTCTCCATGAGGGACACGTGCAGCTTGTTCTCGGCGCGCTGCGGCAGGGCGGACACCACGGCGTAGGCCTGCTCCAGCAGCGCGCAGTTCTGTCTGTTCCGTGCCTTGTTGCGGATCAGCTCCTGGGGCCGGGGCGAAGGTCAGGGTTCAGACTGCTCCACAGGCTGGACCCCAAAAGACCCAGCCTGGGCAGAGGAGGTGGGGCAGGGGAGGTGGTGCCCACCTTCAGCAAGCCCTGGTATCGCTGCACCCGCTCCACCGGCTGCTCCAGGTAGTGCTGCAGAGGTGGCGGTGGGGGCTGAGAGGGGTCCCCTGCTGACAGGGCCTCCTCCGCATATTTCTGTGGGAACCAGGAGGGTGGATTTTAGGGCAGGAATGCAAGGCCCCCGATGGCTGTGTCCCTGAGAGCTGGAGGGTGGGTCCCCAGAGTGCACACACAACCTGCGCCCCAGGTGACAGCTGTCATCACCTACTGACAGGTGACAAGCACAGGACTTGGGCTGCTGAAGTGGCCTGCCCAGGAGCACAGGGCTGCAGAAGCAACTCCACCCGCATTTCTGAACTGAGGCCCAAGGGGGCCACAGGGAGGCTGTGGGCAGTGGCAAGGTCGGGGATGAACGCAGGTTCTGATGTGGGCAGGCCAGGATGAACCTTGGAGGATGCCTGGGCTCAGTGAGCCTTCAGAGGGAGCCAAGGGCAGGCACTGAGGTTCAGGAGTCCATGAGCTCAGGCATGGGCACCTTGTAGAACTCCTGGATGGCCGTGCTGACGACCACCGACTCAGCCTGCACGCGCCCCACCAGGAACTCCAGGTACTGCTCAAAGGCTGCCTGGTTCTTGATGAAGCACATGGCCACGTCGTCGTCTGTGTCACATTGCTGCAGCTCCTGCAGGAAGCTGCTGTGAAGGGGGATGGCATCAGGACTCAGCCTGAGCCCCATAGCCTGGCCCTGAGCCCTCACCTCTGGGAGGAAGCTGGCCCTGCACAAGGGCTGGGGCCTGTGGCTCCTGGGGTTTGTGAGAGTATGCATGCAGACATGTGTGGGCATGCAAAGAAGTGCTTGTGTGCCGTGTATGAAAGCTCACAGGAATATTACATGTGTACATGTATGTGGGCATGCACATTTGTGGAGGCATGTAAATGTGTATGAGCACATGTGGCTGCATACACAGGCAGATGGTGGGGGAAGGAGATGCTGTGTTATATGCATGTGTGCATGTATTCAAGTGTTAAGATGAAAGGATGTGCATGTACATGCTGGGTGTGCACATATGTGCAGAAGTGCATATGCATAGGTGTGCAAAAATAGTGTGGAGACATGTACATATGTGTGTCCATGTGTATAACATGCATACATGTACACAGGCATATACGTGTACGCACGTCTTTAGGTATGCACTGTGGGCACACAGGTGATGTACACATGTATATGGGTGTATGTGTGTACTGTGTGCATGTGTGTGCATTTACAGATGTGCACATGTGCCATGCACATGGGTATATGGTGTTAAAGGCTGCATCTGTACACGTGTGTGTTCATGTGTGCGCACGTGTGAGGGTGTGCATGCAAGTGGGCCTGCGCACATGCCAGTTAGCTGTTGGTGCACCGCAGGCCTTCCCATGAGTAAGCCAGGTACACACGTCTGGGTTTCTGAGGGGAGGTGCGCTGAGGGATAAATCAAGTCAGCACAGGTTCTCTCCCTCCTTGGCTCCAACCCACCTGCACGAGGCCTGGCCCTACAGTGCGTCTATGCATGGACGTGTGTGTGTGTGTGTGTGTGTGTGTGTGTGTGGCCCCACCCACCCACCTGCTGTGAAAGAGGCCGATGTCCCGCACATTGCGGAAGATGACTGCCTTCTGGCTGGCCACAGCTGCGGGCACGTGGGGGCAGCGCTCCAGGTGCTGCAGGTGGTGGCTCTGCAGGAACTGCAGCTCCTCCACGAAGGCCTGCTCAGAACTCAGCAACTCCTGGATCACAGAGCTGGGCAGGAGGGGGCCGCCATAAGGGACCACGGAGCTCCTGCTTCCCGTGCAGGGACTGTGGGCCACGAGGCTCCCGCTCCCTCAGCTGCTAAATGGGTGCGCCTCCTGCTGCGCAGCCTGTCGTCTGCTCACAGGAAGTGGGAGAGCAGGTGGAGAGAGGCTCCCTCTCGGACAAGGCCGGTCCCAACACCAGGAAGCCACCCAGATGGGTCCTGCCAGTACAAGGCTGGGAGGGCAGCTGCGGGAACCCAGGCAGCTCTGGGCCTGCTCTGCTGTCCTTGGCCCCTACCTGTCCCTGATAGGCTCACACAGGAGCACTGTTTCAGAGGCCCCTGCAGAGGAATCAGCATAGCCATGACCCCAAGACCTCCAGGGTTAGGGCCTGGACCCAGAGCCAGGGCAAGCGGCCAGCTTCTTTGGAAGACTGTCCAGTCAGTGGGATGCCAGTGCCACCACCTCCAGCCCAGCAGGCACTCACCTCAGCCTTGACTTGTATTCATCTTCAGACACGGCCTCCCCGGGGAACTCAGGGGCCTCAGCAGCCCCCCACTCAGGTGACAGCTGGTGAGGGACAGGAGTATTCCGGTCGGGGTGCTGAACTCTGGCCCTGCCCTGTGGGGATTGGGCTCTTGCCCCTCAAATTGGGACGCTCCTCCTAGGGGCCTCCAGGACCCCTGAGGACCCCTCCTGCCTGGCCATTCAGGTACCTTGAGCCTCCTGTCCAGGTAGGCTGGTGACACCCAGCCCTGCCGTGAGGGGCTGGACTTGGTGGGCTTGGTGCGGACGAGCCAGCGCAGTGGGTGGGCTGCATCCAGGACCTCCACGTACTGGCCTTCCCGCAGTGCGATGGCATCCTGCTCAGCCCCCAGGGGCAGGTAATCGGCGGTGACCACGTAGATGTCAAAGATCTGAGAGGGGGGTGGGGGTGCTAAAGTGGTGAGACCTGGGAGGTGCCAGCTGGGCCTGCCGAGATCCCGAGCCACAGGGCAGGGATCCCCAGTCAGCATGCACACGCCTGGTTCCTGTCCCACACAGAACAGCAGGAATGTGAGAGATCTCCCCTGCCCCACCCCCACCCCTAGAGGTCACCACAGCCCTGGGGTCTCCAGGCCTGGACTGCCTACACTCAGTTACTTGTTTACCTTCTCCCCGTCTCCACACCCACTCCAAGCCCTAACAGGGTGCCTGGTACACTGGAGGCCTGAGACACATTCTCCTTTGAAGGAATGAAGGAGTGAATGAATGAACTAAACAAATGGCTCTCCAGGAAGGCAAATCTCCACAGGACGCCGTGTGGAGAAGACCCTGTTCTCACCAGTTCCTGCAACTTGCTGGGGTCCCACCTCCCTAAAGTCCCATGGGAGTCCTGCCTCCTGAGCCCCTCCCCACCCTTCACCTTCTCTTCTCCCTGCCCTGCTCCCAGAGGATTCCAGCTGCCCACCTCGCCTCGGGCGTCGCCGTCCTCTGACTCTGAGGAAGACTCCTGGATGCTGGAGGATGGCCGTGATCGGCCGTGGCGGGGGGATGCAGATGGTGTCTTGGAGTCATCATCGCTGTCACCTCCAGGCACCTGCAGCTTGGCTGGGGGTGCAAGGATCATGACACCCTGGCCTGCCTCTGGCTTTCCAGGGCTCAGGGGAAGGGCAAACACCCCGGACACATCCCAGTGACCCTGGCACATGGGCCGCTGCCCCTCACCCTGCGTGATCTTGGCCGATACCATCTCGGTGATCTGGGAGGTCAGTTTCTGCAGGAACTCCTCTGTGCCCACCTCAGCAAGGGAGAGGTGTCTGAGGGCCTCCTTGGCAGCCAGAGGCTCTCCTGGGGATACAAACACTCTGCTCAGGTTGCTGCAGAGTGCCCCTCAGATGTGTACCAAGCACCCCATGCTGTAGGCCCATCTTGGGCCCTGGGAGCCAATGGTGAACAAACAGCCAAGCCTCCCCCGCATGGTGCTGATGTCTAGCAGGGAGATGATGAGACTCAGTGGCTGGCAAGGCGGGAGGCCAGTGGCAACTGGCCAGGATGAGGAGTCACTCTGGCTCATGAGTGTCAAGCCGAGGCATGACCAGGGGGCTGAGAATGTCCAGAGACAGAGGGCACGGTGGGGACTGCCAGTGGACAGTGGATGAGGGGCACTGGGGACAGAGTCAGCAGAGGCCAGACCTGGGCATCAGGCTGCAGAAGGGGCCATGGGTCCAAAGCGGGGCTGTGTTGCCTCTGTTCTCAGTGCCCAGCACCTAGGAGTTCTACCCAGACCCTGGTATCTACACAGCCCGCTGGATGTGAGCTCTGTGCCCAGGGCTGGCCCAGGGACCCCACAGGCTCCCAGATCCATGGGGATCAGACATGGTTCCGACACTAATCAAGCCTGAAGTCCAGGCACGGGTTGGTCCTGGCTGTGTGAGCAGGTGTCTCAGTGCTGTGCTGCTCAGGAGGGCCCTCTGAGGCCTGGAGCCACCCCCGGGCAGCCTCCTCCCTGATCCCAGCATCAGGGGATCACCCTGGCCCCTCACAGGCATGCACCCAGCCTGACTGTACCTTTCCTCTGCCCACCAAGGTCAGCAAAACTCGCAGTTTCCAACCCCTGTGCTGAGACGGCTTGTGTGGTCCTAAACGGGCAAAGGGGGTGTCCTGAGAGGCCTGGGCTGGACCCCACCACCCTCTGTCCTTATGCAGAAGCTCCTGACAAAAAGAGGGTCTGGGGACAACAGACCAAGATACTAGAGAACGGGGCTCCATACCAGAGAGGCCCAACAGAAGCCTTCGCTTTACAATGGGGAAACTGAGGTGCAGAGAAGGAAGAGAGCTGGCCCAAACCACACGGCCTGCATGCGGCAGAGCCAGGACACGCTCTGGGACAGGTGTTCTCCCCAGGGGCAGCACTGTCCCGTCCCCCACTCCTAGAGCATCCTCCCTGGCCCTGACTGGAACAGCCTCCACGGGCAACCCTCACTTACCCCTGCAGGAAAGTGGAAATCAGTGCTTCCTTCACTTTCTCCTGCTCCTCCACCTTAGACACTGTCAGGGAGGACCGGGCAAACCATCAGGACGGTGCTCCCAACCCCGGCACGTCTGATTCCAGATCTGGACTGGGTCCCTCCGAAGCCCTGAGCAGGGGCTGTGCCCAGGCTCACCTCCCCATCCCACTCTTGGCCTGCGGTCACCCCAACAGTGATGGGAGGAAAACAGGGGTTCTCCTGTCCTCAGAGGGGCTGAGCAAGGCCCAGGATGCAGGGGGCTTCAGGAAAAGTCCCTGGAGCCGGCGGTGCAGAACCCACGGGTCCTGGGCCCAGAGGGGACTCTGAGGCTCAAAACCACCAGCACCACCAGGGCCTGACCCGTCTTGGGGTCTCCCTGGTGCTGTCAGAGAATAAGAAGAGGAAGGAGGGGGTCCCACAGGGTCCCAGCCCAGATGGTGGTGATGGGCAGTGTGCCCCAAGGAGACTCCAAAGCTACCCAGTGCCCACCTCCCATGCCCCAGCCCTCCACCCCCCCACCCCCTACTCACGGCCCGAGACACGCAGGCTGGCGGAGCAGAGGGCCTGGCCGGCAGCGTTGCTGGCGATGCACGTGTAGGTGCCCTGGTGCTGCCGGCCCACGTCCAGCAGGACCAGGCTGTGCTGCTGTGCAGAGCTGGCCATGGTGTAGCCTGGCGTGTCAGGGCCAATCCACAGCACACCCCTCTCAGCCTCCTCCCTGAGCCAGTGCACGGTGGGCGCCGGGCGTCCTGGGGCGGGCAGGAGGTGGTAAGTGCACTCTGCCAGGAGCGGGGCCTCTGGAGGTGGAGCCCTGTCTGTGGCCCTCCCTCAGGATGATGTGAGTGGGGAGGGGGCACCTCTGTCCCATCCCCCAGGGGTGATCTTTCCACAGCAGGGGACAAGAAATGCCTTACCTTCTACCTTCACGGAGAAGGTGATGCTGGAGCCTTTCTTCACTTTCTTGGGGGTGAACCTCTCCAGCATTCGGGGTGGCACCAGCTGCTCATGCACATCTAGGGGGCACAGGGTGGCTGGCAGAGACCTTGGCACAGTCCCTACCGCCTGCTTCCTGGCCCCCGATGATGTCTGCAGGCCCCCAGGTGGCTCTCCACAGCCAGCACCTGGACAGCACCACGCTGTTCCCTCGGCCGGGCTGTCTCCTAGGTGCGCCCTCCCTGAGCCAGCCCATGGCCACCCACACCTCCACTGCGGTCAGCCCTAGGGTCAGGCCCTCAGCACCCATGGCCACCTGGCCTCTCCCTGCCCGTCTGGGGCTGCCTCACCTGATGCAGGCTTCTCTTCTGGCTCATCGGGGCCTGAAAGAGGCACTAGAGTCAGACACCTAGCACACACAGGACCCCGCCATGGCTCCTACTCAGCGCTGTGTGGGAGCCCAGCAGTTCTACCCCCTGCAGTGAGGGAACTCAAGGGCAGCGCTGCTCCCCAAGCAAACGTCCTAACCCCTGCCTGAAACCTGGGCCATGAAGCCCTGCAACTTACACACTCTGGTGACAGAGGCAACAGGCTGCATGGACCAGACCCAATGCCCCACCACCCACCCTCACCCTGCCACGGACTCTGTGGCCCCACACTGGAACCAGCACACAACCAAATAATGCTGCCCAGAGCAGCAGAGGACTCACACCTGGGGACGCTGGGGAAAGTTGCAGCAGTGGCAGGACGGGTTTGGGTGAAACTTGGAATGAACTCTCAGTGCTCAGAACTTTTTGAACAATAAGGAAGTAGGGTCCTCTAGTCCCAAGCTACACTGGCTCTGGCTGTGCGTGGATTTACCTAGAGCCTCAATGTTTACCCACTTTCCTGGGTCAACTTCAACCTCCAGCCTGCCCATTAGTCAGGACAGAGGGCTGCACACCCGCTCCCTGAAGGGCCAACTTCTGGCCACCTGTGCCACTTTGTACCAGGGAGCCCCGCTGAGGGCCTGATATGGCAAGGTGTGCAGGGGATGTCAGCCCTGGCCAGGATGCTGCCCAGGGCCCAAGTCTCTGCCCGGCCCCTCAGAGCACCCACCTCGAACCAGCAGCCGGGCAGATGAGTAGGCGGCACCCATGGCATTGCTGATGTAGGCCGCATACTGGCCAGAGTCCTCCCGAGTGACTGAGATGATCTCCAGGGTGTGCAGGGTCTTTTTGTCAGTCATGTGGATGTGGGCAGATGCGGTCAGGGGCTGGCCATCTTTGAACCAGTATAATCTGGGAGCAGGGTAGCCTGGGCCACGGGAGGGGGAGTGGTCAGCCTGGGCTACCACCCACGGGCACTGTGTCCTCCAGATGGGAGACAGATGAAGGCCTGGAGAGAGGGTCCCTCAAACACCCCCACACCACCAGTGATGGAGTATCGGCCTCCAGCACCCAGGCAGCAGAGAGAGTGACTGCCTGACCCTGTTGCTGGGGTCTCCTTTCAATTGTAGCTGACAGGGCACGGCTCCTTGGCCTCCATCCTGCCATGGCTGTGTCCCCACTCCCTCTCCCTCTCACCTTTCACCTTGAGCTGGAACTTGGCCAGGCGTGTGCCAGGGGCCACCTGGAGGTCTCTCAGTTCCTCCACCACCTGGGGCAGCTGGCCCTCATCAGTGGTGGACTCTGTTCCCTCCTGCTCCCGGCTGGCAGGAGAACAGAAAAGGGGTCAGCCAGAAAGTAGGGCAGTGAGGGGAGCAAGGTGGGAGGGGTGCTGAGGGGCTTAGGCATGGATGACGTTGGAAGCCCCTGTTTGCTGACAGAGACCGCCAGGGCTTGGAGGAAGGCTCCAGGATTGGAAGCTGTCAGACCAAGCCCTGCCCTCACCCAGCAGCATCACTCCCCAAGAGGCCCTGCAACGTCAGTCCGTGGGGCACAGCCCACCTCTGGCAGCTCCTACCTGGACAAGTAGCCTTGGGCACTGAAGTAGGATGAGGTCTCCGTGGCATCCGCTGCAGTGTCATAGTCTGTGCTTGTCACTGGGGAAGGAAGAGGGGAACTGGAGCAAGGCCTGCCATCCCATCTGCCCCAGCACGAGCTCCTGTACCAGGATGGCCTCGGCCCTCAGAGGTCCTGACTACAGAGCCTTGCCTGGAAGCCACTTAGATTTGGGAGCTAGAAGTCATAGGGGGAATAGTGATATTGTAGCCTCTCCACCCCCAGCTATTACCAGCCCCATACTTCAAGGCCTATAACTAACTACAAGCCTCTTTGATACGACAAACTAATAACGAATGATCCAGAGGCCTCAGAAGAAACAGTGATAGTGGTAGAACCTTCCAGTTCCATCCTACTAGGGAATAATGGGATGAAAAGATACAGGTCTCAAACAGCTAGGACTTGTGTTTCTAGTCAAGATGGAGTGACTGAGGTTGGACTTACCCTCTTTTATGGACTAAATGTTGAGATGCCCCCCAAAGACCATATGCTGAAATATTAACCCCCTATGGATGAAGAGATGGGCCCTTGGGAGGTGATTAGGTGATGAGGGTGGAACTTCCATGAATGGGATTACTGCCCTTATAGAAGGGACCCCAGAGACCTCCCTCATCCTCTTTCTATCATGTCCTTGAATGATGTATTTTTTTCTTCTGTTTATATATATATATATATATGAGTGAATGAATGAACTAAACAAATGGCTCTCCAGGAAGGCAAATCTCCACAGGACGCCGTGTGGAGAAGACCCTGTTCTCACCAGTTCCTGCAACTTGCTGGGGTCCCACCTCCCTAAAGTCCCATGGGAGTCCTGCCTCCTGAGCCCCTCCCCACCCTTCACCTTCTCTTCTCCCTGCCCTGCTCCCAGAGGATTCCAGCTGCCCACCTCGCCTCGGGCGTCGCCGTCCTCTGACTCTGAGGAAGACTCCTGGATGCTGGAGGATGGCCGTGATCGGCCGTGGCGGGGGGATGCAGATGGTGTCTTGGAGTCATCATCGCTGTCACCTCCAGGCACCTGCAGCTTGGCTGGGGGTGCAAGGATCATGACACCCTGGCCTGCCTCTGGCTTTCCAGGGCTCAGGGGAAGGGCAAACACCCCGGACACATCCCAGTGACCCTGGCACATGGGCCGCTGCCCCTCACCCTGCGTGATCTTGGCCGATACCATCTCGGTGATCTGGGAGGTCAGTTTCTGCAGGAACTCCTCTGTGCCCACCTCAGCAAGGGAGAGGTGTCTGAGGGCCTCCTTGGCAGCCAGAGGCTCTCCTGGGGATACAAACACTCTGCTCAGGTTGCTGCAGAGTGCCCCTCAGATGTGTACCAAGCACCCCATGCTGTAGGCCCATCTTGGGCCCTGGGAGCCAATGGTGAACAAACAGCCAAGCCTCCCCCGCATGGTGCTGATGTCTAGCAGGGAGATGATGAGACTCAGTGGCTGGCAAGGCGGGAGGCCAGTGGCAACTGGCCAGGATGAGGAGTCACTCTGGCTCATGAGTGTCAAGCCGAGGCATGACCAGGGGGCTGAGAATGTCCAGAGACAGAGGGCACGGTGGGGACTGCCAGTGGACAGTGGATGAGGGGCACTGGGGACAGAGTCAGCAGAGGCCAGACCTGGGCATCAGGCTGCAGAAGGGGCCATGGGTCCAAAGCGGGGCTGTGTTGCCTCTGTTCTCAGTGCCCAGCACCTAGGAGTTCTACCCAGACCCTGGTATCTACACAGCCCGCTGGATGTGAGCTCTGTGCCCAGGGCTGGCCCAGGGACCCCACAGGCTCCCAGATCCATGGGGATCAGACATGGTTCCGACACTAATCAAGCCTGAAGTCCAGGCACGGGTTGGTCCTGGCTGTGTGAGCAGGTGTCTCAGTGCTGTGCTGCTCAGGAGGGCCCTCTGAGGCCTGGAGCCACCCCCGGGCAGCCTCCTCCCTGATCCCAGCATCAGGGGATCACCCGCGGCGGCTGTTTAGTCCCCGTATCGGGAGGCTGAGGGGCACTGGCATGAACCCCCGGGAGGCGAGCTTGCAGTGGCCGGAAGGATCGTTGCACCTGATTCCGCCTGGGGACCGAGCAGACTCTTGTCTCCAAACAAAAAAAAAAATTTAGTATAATATATACTATTATTAACAGAAGAAAAAAATACATCATTTCAAGACACATGATAGAAACAGAGGATGAGGAGGTCTCTTGGATCCCTTCTATAAGGGCATGTATCCCTCATGGACGTTTCCACCTCTCCTAATCACCTCCCAAGGGCCATCTCTTCATCCATAGAGGCGTTAATATTTCAGCTATGGTCTTTGGGGGGCATTTCAACATTTAAAGTCCATTAAAAGAGGGTTAGTCCACTCAGTCACTCCATCTTGACTAGCAACACAGTCCTAGCTGTTTGGGACCTGTATCTTTTCATCCCATTTTCCCTAGT